ATGGCAACCGGAAACCAACAAGGAACATCTGTCACCGAGTTTTGCCACAAAAGCGTGAATTTACCTCTCGAGGAAATCACAAACGACAAATTAATACTTTTTCTCATTCATAAACTGTTCAGATGGCAAAATTCCCAGAAATAAGTCACTTTCCTAACCGACATGACAGCTCTGTCGGCCGTCATTTAAATCACCGCATCACAAAAAAGCTTAGGAATTCAAGCGTACTCTCACAAAACCAACCAGATGGATAGTTTTGTAGTTTGAAGTTTAGTGACTTTATTTGAAAAGCAATAATATTTCGCTCACAGAAAATTGCTCAGAAAGGTGAAAGTTGCTCGAGGTTGCTAGAAGCGCGAAAAGCCCAAAAATTGCTCAAAAGTTGCTTAGCACAATATGGACAGGACTAATAATTATTACTATCAATATAATTATCACCGTCACCATCATCATCATCATTTCATTTGCCATGTTTTAATACGGTGCCCCAGGTTTACATCTTCATTAATTATTATTATCATTATTATTATTATTATTATCTTTACTATTACTATTATTATTGTTTTTGTTGTTGTTATTATTATTATTATCTTTTATTTATTTATTTATTTTATTTTTTACGATGACTGTTTGCGACTCAGGCTATACCGTAAAAGAAAAAAAAGTAAACAAAAAAAGAAAAGAAAGGAAGAAAAAGAAAGGAAAAGAGATAAATACATATCAACTAAGAAAAAAATGCATAAATGAAGAACCAAAGAAGAAAAAAAAATCCAAACTCCCTCCCCCCCCCCCATCCTGCCTCGCCCTTTTATCAATAGGCCATTTCTAATTTGCCCCAAGCCTCCGTTTTAAAGCCAGCCTAAGTGCGAGGAAGCCATTAATATACGAAGCGAAAGAAAAGAAAGGTTTGCAACTCGGAATTAAGCAACAACGACGGTGATGGCTACGAAAACGTCAAAAAAGCTTTATCGCGCTGCTTCAAGCTTTATCGCCAGTTTATCGCGCTTATTCCATCTCGTTCAGTTCATCTAATGTCGGCGTTTTTTTTTGGTTTTTTGTTTTTTGTTTTTCTGAAGTTGAATTGTAAAAGATGTATAATTGTTCAGGAAAAGAAAAAGGAAGTCGTTGTTTTGTGTTCACGTCCTCCAGAAAACGTGAAATTAGGTATTTTCACGTCGTAGTCGTGCAACGACGGTAAAGAAATGTACAAAAAAAACGTGATGCACGTGCAGAGTTGTTTATTTTGCCAATCCAAACCTATTGTTTTTTGCCGTTCTCGTTGCCGTCGCCAGTCATCAGTGCTTAAGCTCCCTAATCAGGAGCCCATCACTTAATGGGTTTCTGCCCTAATCTATTAACACGTGCGCGCGTGGAACTGGCGAAGTCTGTTGCCATGGCTATTGGTAACACCTATTTTTATACACCTAAAGGAATGATGAGGAAAGGATAACTGAATAAATGTATACCAGTGTTTCAAGTTTCTTGAAAAACAACAAGTATTAATATCATTTCTTGAGTCAGCGTTATATAAAACTTAGAAATCCTATGTGAGCTTTCATAGGAAAAGAATTCCAATTAGCTCCAATTAACTTCTAGATTACAAGGAAATTCCATTTCATTATGACGCGCTAAGTGATGAAATGTAATGAATTATTGCCTACGTTGCTTCTCGTACCCAGCTCCGAAAAATCAAGCCATCATTTCGATCTCTAACTTTGTTGTTGCTGCAATCGACAGCCATTTAGGACTGCACTCTGAAAATGGATTTGTCTTCGAGGAGAAACATACTTCGATTATTGCTGCTTACTTTAGCGATACTGTTTCTCTTTGGCCTAACATCAGCAAGGCACGTCAAAAAGGCTGGGAGAACAAAGCAAAAAGACCACCGGCACAAACACGAGCATAAAAGAAAATGTGACGACCATTGCAAAAGAAGGTGGAGTCGAGTGCGCTTAGCGAGAGGTAAGCTCGCGCAGGATCGGTTTATCTTGATTTGCTAATTATAGCTATACTTGTGTACTTACATAACACTTTTTTCATTTAATGATTTGGTCATATCCTGGTTCTTCTTCTTGCTTATCTTAAAACCGCGGTTCGTTGACGTCCTTAAGATTGCTTTCGTTACGCCTGTTGTATTTGTTATCCAATATAAACCAAATTTTACCGCTACAAACGTACCGTTTCTTTTAATCAAACTGTGAAATTCCAGCTTCAGTTTTTGTTTTTCAATAATTTGAATTCCATAACTTCGTTAGCTATCCATTTAACTAACTTGCTTCATTAATGCTGATAATATTCTTTTATCTTCAATAATTTCAATTCGATAACTTCGTTAGCTATCCATCACAAGTAACTTACAGAACTTGCTTCATTAATATTAGCTAGAACCTTCTGTGGTAGAAAAGATTAATAATGTCAGTAGTGAGACGTATTATTGCAAGGAGATGTTCCCGATCACTCTGGAACGATCATCTTTGTTAACCCAATATCAAAAATTAATCATGATCGGGTTACAGAATGAAAAAAAGAGAGAGAGTCTAGCCGATACACTTATAGCGCTGGTTTATTTTTTATTTTTATTTTATTTTATTTTTTTTTTCAAATAACATCGTTCCGGTTTTTTCGGTGTATATTTACGCTCAACGCAGTACGTTACGCAATGGGCCTGAGCAATTGTCGGTAAACTGAGTTGTGGACCAAAGGGAACGTTTCGATGACAAGTTCGCGCCAGGAAGAAATATAAAATCATGGCCTTCAGGCGGTGTTCGAATGTTCCATGAAGTTCAAGGTCATGGTGCTACTTGAGATGGCTAGTTATGTTAAGTAATTCGGTCGTGTGGCAGTAAAAACTAAATTGAGGTTTACTACCTGATGTAGTGTCTCGTTATTTTAATTTTAATTAAGGAAATGATTTTACAGTAATTAAAATTACTGTAAAATTGCTGTAAAACTGACCTGTATTAGGCGGTTAACGCCTTAAAGCGGTCGCGGTCACCTTCTCCGAGAGCAAGACCGGATGGGTTTGATTTTTTCTTTTCCGTCTTTTATTAATAATGATATGGTTTTAAAGACACAACATTTGCCACCCAATAGGGGTCAGGAAAGGCTGTAAAAGGCTTCTACGAACAAAAATTCAAAACTGGCCTGAAGACTGATTTCCTGAAAGCACTTTCGAGAGAAAGAGAGGAACCATCCAAAAAATAATAAGATTAATCAAACTCTCTGTATATAAAGAATAAGTACTTGCAAAATAAATAAATAATACATTTTGCCATTTAACACGCATAAATACCAAAATACCAACCATCAGTTCCTAGCTTTAAAAGCATAAAATTTCAACTGATAGCTAGAGAACCCAGAAAACTCCTCTACGAACAATTATATCATAAAAGCGAGGACTTTCTTTAGATGCTATACTCGTAAAAGCAAAACTTTAAGAAAGGCTAAAAACATGTTGGGGAAAATGTGAGTCAGGCTTGCCAGCTCCTTTATTCACCTCATTTCCAGGGTCTTCTCGTTTGCCACCGCCATGTTGGAAAACGTGAAGACACTGGGGAGGAAGTTACACCTTTCACGTTGGCGGAAGTAGGAAGTCGAAACTCAGAACTCAGAAGTCGGAATTTGGTAGTCGAAAGCTGTAACGTCTGAGGTCAGACGGAAGTTGCAACTGAGAAGTATGTTTTTCTGAGTTTTTTTTCTAAAGGATAAACCATCAGTACCTGACGTTTTCAGTAGCTGTTCGTTCATCCCTCGCGCACATTTTGAGCTAAGTTTAATGTCGGTCAGTTGCTATGCTTACGAGATATGACGTCATAAGTAGCAGGTGGTCAAGCCAATTTCGGGTGAAAATACATGTTTTTTCAACTTTTTTCAACAATCAAAAAAATCCTGTGGCTAAAATCATACAAAGTTTTGTTTATGTGTTATTTTTCATATAAAGTACAGGCCTCCAGCAGCGCCACCACCCCTAAAATATACCTCATCTTGTTAAGAAGATCAAAGGCTTTCCACTAAAGGTAAAATCGTTTCCAAATACTGCAACATATGAAAAACACCGGGAAGAGGCTACATCCACCCCACCCCCCCCCGCCTCTGCCCTTGTACCGTGACCACGGTGGGGGTATGAATTTGCGTGTACGTCCGAGGGTTAATATTAAACTTCACCTTAATTTTACATTTGAGTCCTTTAAGATGTTAATTTTCTTAGGCATAATAACCAATAAGTTACAATATTAAATTGAAAGACCATCAATTGGCCACTGCTTAGAAAGTTCATAACATTTAGAGAGTTTATCGTTCCTCTTAGTTAATCTGTCCATATTAATTAAAGGCACGCTTTGACGAAGATGCGCCTTATGCATCCTTTTATAATGACACCTCTCACGTTCATGTATTTGACAAGGAAAGGGACGTCAGATATTATGAGATCTGAACACACAAGGCCATATTATACCCAATTGCGTCAAGAGTGACCAACTTACTGTTTATTATTTCTTGATCCCACGCAATTCAACGCCTGTCGACTTATCGTCGACAGGGCCCAGTTGCCAGGGTCAATTAGCGCTAACCCCGGGCTAAATTTCAGTGCGAGTTTCTTTTTCTTTTGCTCAAAAGCATTTTCTCCGATGATTTTCGTCATTCCTTTTAGAGAATCTAATCATCAAATTGTAGACAAAAATAATTTAACTGAAATTGCTTTTAAAGCTTTCATATTTAAATTCAAATTTTGCAGTATCCCTGGGTTCAGTCTTAACTTGACTCTTAACAACCCAGCTCTGGTTGAGTCTCCTCGATTGTTCTCATTTGACGTCATTCGTTAATTGGCCAACAGAAACACTTGCATATTCCACTATATTAAGTCGCGCCAACCACTAGTATTATAGACTCCCACTTTCGGTCCCTAACTTGGTTTCAAACTCGGTGGCTCGATCGTAGCTCGGAACTCGGATTCATCACTATTCTTGTCACGAAGCCGTTGAATTGTAGTTTAAAATCACCATATGGCTTCGGGAAAATACGTCAAGAAAGTCGATTATGGAGAAAGCGCAGGTCCTGCCTTCAGGGTCGACATAGAAGACGAAAGCGGCGAAGTCTTGTTCGCAAAAAAGCACTCTCGGATAGAGAAGTGTCTCTTCGCAACTGTAGTAGTGTTTGTTACGGTTGCAATTGTGTTTATTGTTCTCTACTCCACGCAAGTTTCAAAGACCAGTGAGGGTGATTCATCAACTACGGCTAACGAACGAAGTACGTGGGCGCCAATCACAAGCGAGACAACGGCTTGTTTCGAGCTCCATTGTATTTTGACCGCCTCAGGTTAGTTTAATTATAAGTTTATCTATTTGAAACTTTTTGGATCCGAGTTGAAGATAGTTTGCATCTTGTATTAAAACGATAAATTTTTATCGATACCCGAAAAAATACCCTGTGTGATGCATGTTCATCGAAGCATCAAAAATTTTGGCAAACTGTTAATTGAACATGACCTGATTTCCAAAAGAAAGACCGTCCATTTGAATATACATCTAAACAATCAAACACTACGGATCTCATTTTCAGCGTCATTGATCTTAAATAATCGTGACATTCATATCATATATGACAGACGAATTTCGAATACCAAACTGCAAGAGGCATGACAACTTCTTATCTCTAGCTCAAAACTTTTTCTCATCCAATAAAAACACTAACAAAAACTAACCAACAAAACTAAACAAACAGAGCTGAACAAGGACATTCGATTAAGCCGTCGTAATTATGATTATCATAACGTCTCTGACAGTTGTTAGTTTTTTAAATACCTTTAATTACTACCATGTAACAGTACATTTTGCTGGCATGCGTTTGTTTCAAAGGTCCAGATATTTTTTAATTATTATCATCATTATAATTTTTTGCGATCGCTTTTCGTGGTTCCGGCCGAGGGTTTTAACTGGCTTTATTCTTATCTTTTGCTCAAAAATTTTTCTCACCCATAAACAAAAACACTAACAAAAACTAACCAACAAAACTAAACAAACAGAGCTGAACATGGACATTCGATTAATCCGTCGTTATCATAACGTCTGACAGTTGTTAGTTTTTTAAATACCTTTAATTACTACCATATAACAGTACATTTTGCTGGCATGAGTTTGTTTCAAAGGTCCAGATATTCTTTAATTATTATCATTATTACCATTATAATTTTTTGCGATCACTTTTCGTGGTTCCGACCGAGGGCTTTAACTGAAATGTTGTCTTTTAACCCGATCATGTCCATGTGTTAGCGAAACAAAGTAAAACAGGTCGCAGACATGACAGATGTACTAGTATCTGATAAGCCTAGGATGAACTGAACGCTCTAATCCTATTCAGACCGGGCTTTTTTTTGTTTTTTTCGCTTCCTGTGACCGGGGGAGATGGGAAGGGGTCCAGAGGCACCCCTATATAACTTCAAAACTGCTCATACTACGGCCACCTAAATTTTACAGAAGAGTATGCTCATCATTTCCAACTTCCGGGCATAACGTGCTTGGAACAACAATGACGTAATAAATTGAAAATTAAACTCAGCATCTGCCTTCTGGTCATGTTAACTTTGACAACTCGTAAAACCAGTGATTGTAGAAAAAAAAAAGAAAAGGAAAAAGAGAGAAAGAGAGAAACAAAAGTCGACTTTAATTTATACTCACGTGGTAGCCACTACTCCACAAGACCATTCTCGACCCCAGTGCTTACGGGTTTGGGAATGCGCGCGTAAGCTCTGGGAAACTCTGCGCCGGAGAAGCCAAAATCTGGCTTTTTGAGCCTCACAGCGCATGCTCTTTGATCTAACCAAAACTTTTTGCTTCTTTTATATCCACTTCATCTCGATATTCTTGTGCTGCTTCGGTAGTAGAACTGACGAAATTCAGTTGACGGCCTTGGAGAATTTTCAGGTATCCAAGGCTCTTGTGGTAGCTGCTGAGAAAATACCGTTAAACGTTCGCAATCACAGATTTGAAACTTGAAGTTTGCATATGCTTGACATTTGATTAAATATTTCTGTGGACTACTTCACGATGTGGTAAGTGAGACCCGAATGGCTTGTTAAGATAAACGTATCGAAATTCCAATAAAACTTTCCAAAATATGAATGTAGCGTCCTTTTATTTATGTTTGTTCATGAACATTTTAAAACACTTCAGCGAAGCTTCTTTGAAATGCGATATCGTGGCAAAAGAAGACAACTAAAAATATCTAGTCGCATTGTACACGCATCACTTTAGGGAACGCTTTACTTTTTCTTTTTTTTCTTGCAAGACTGTTTTTGGGTAATTTACGACAAGAAGCTCAAGTTTTCATTCATACTCGGCCAGTTCGTGTGAATACGATAACGTGAAAGTCAAAGAAAAATTAAATCAGTACTGTGTCAAGCTTCTTAAATTATAGCTGGCAAAGATGTCGGTGTATTTTTATTTTATTTTTTCACATTCAAATCTTTTTCTGGTTCAATTTTCGATATGTAGCTAAGCTATTTTATTTGCAAGTTGGAAAATCCAGTAATTCTACCTAATTAGTCGTGCAAATGCTGTTTTTAAATCGCTGAAATCAAGAATCGGCCGGTAGTATTTATTGCCGCACGTCCAGCCACTCTCGTGCAAACTTGAATGGACCAATCAGAAACACGTTTATTGTTTTTTGCTGAAACCAATCAGAGACAATCTTGCTCCAGGGTTCCCCAGAGCTCTTGATCTCTCTCCTCTACACGCGCAGAAAAGCTCTGGGTTGAGATTGGGCGTCACGGCAAAAGTCATTTCTAAGCAAGCGCACTACTTCATTTTTGGGCTTTACGGCACTTTCGGCCTCCATAATGGAGGTCGCCGTAGCGATTTGCCTAAAGTTTGAAAACGCAGGTTTCTTCGTTTACGAGTGGCGGCCGAGTTTTTCGATGATGACTTCCATCATACACTTCCGACCTCGTTCCTAGTCTCCTCTCCTATTCGTTGCATTTCCTTCTGGCATTAGTCCGGGGGCTCCTGCATTATTTTAATGCATGATCTGTAAGGAAATACCTTCCTTATTATAATTATGGTATATGACTAACTTGAATAAAGGTTTTCCTTTGGGGAGGAAAACCGTCACAATAGTACTCTCCTAGGAGATGACTGTACGATTTTTATGACACCAGAAGCGCATATAGGTTTTTTACGACACCACTTAAAAAAGGGTTTAATACTGCGTGACGCACGTTACCTTGAATGTATCTTGCAACTTTCGTTACGTGACTCGGCTTTGTTTTGCGCCTGGTACAACAGCCTCCGGAGACTCACCTCCCGGATCTTGGCAATCTTTGTGCATGTTCTGCATTTTAATTACATAAGCGTTGAGTGACGATATGTCTTCTGCAAAATACATCAAGAAAGTTGATTACGGAGAACCTTTTCATTTCCATTTCGACCCAGAAAGCAGCAGCAAGTTGTCGTTCTCAAGTAAACACTCTCGCAAGGAGAAATGCCTCTTTGCAGCTTTATTAGTATTCGTTATTGTTGCAATAGTGTTCGCTGTTCTTTACGCTGTGCAAGTTTCAAAGAAGCCCGCTAAGCCCGGCAGTTCATCGGCTTCAAGTGAAGGAACTACCCATGCTCCGAGCACAAACAAATCAGGTCCGCCAGCGACGTCGGTTTGCATGGAGCCGCTCTGTGTTCTAATAGCTTCAGGTAAGTTGGGTGTCGTTTTAAGTTTCAGAGGCACACCCGGTGTCAAAAATCATAATTACACTGCACACCCACATGATTCGATTGTCGGCTTTTCCATTGATAGTTTTCACCCGGGAAGGGAGCCGGGGAAGAACTCACTTAAAACTAACAGGGGCTCTCATTAGAATCTGGCAGAATTAGCTTTCGAACATGTTCGGTTTGATCTCGGTTTCAGTGCTCAAATTATTTTCTTTCGTTTTCACATTGAATTTTTTTAAAGGCGGTTCAGATCGACGATTCAGTTACTGCGTAGCACGAACTTTTTGCGGGAATTACAGTAATTTCCACGGATTGGCGATTTTTTAGTTTTGCGGGAACTAATTTTTGCGATTAGGACAGATTGGTTTTTCTAGTTGGGAATTAATTTTAGCGATTTTCAGAAAGTACCCAGTATTCCGCATTGATAATATTTTCGTTTTTATTGAGTACGTGCATTAGAAGTACATATCTTCAAACAATAAACCTGTATTTCGTTATATACCGTTTTGTTTCTGAATGAAAGAGACAAGTTGTGATTGAACAGACACGATTTCTCAGTATTGTATTTTTGTGTAGCGAATTTAAGTTGGAGAATATTTACTCTGGATTAATTTTTTGAGGGAAAAATGTTTAGAGTAATTTTTATTTGCGGGAACTTACTTTTGCGGATCGCTGGAAAAGTCACAAAAAACGCAAAAATCAGAACCCCAAAATATTTCGCGTCACACGGTAAATACTTTTTTTGTTAGTCTGACGTTCGATCGTCTTTTAGTTACGAGGTTCCTAAAATCAGCGACGATTAAGCAGAGTTGGTTAGCACGCGGCCTTTTTTGCTTGACACCCAGAAATCGACTCTCTTGATGTGACCTCAAATCCATGTTTCGACTTCTTCCCTGGTTAAGAGAGGGGGATCAAATGAGCGCACCGAGGTTTATTTCAAGCTCCCGACATAACATAAAGAGCCTTTACCTCTACCACCTCTACCTTTAGCGATAACTCAAACGCCGGTCATTGGCAACTTCTGAATGTGGCCAATTTATGAACTTTTGATATTGTAAGTGATCATTTTTTTAATGCCCCCAAAATTATTTTTATTGACAAGGCGAAGTTTAATAAGGCGAAAAGAGAAGAAAAAACATAGCGTGTACTTCTGCAACTTCCGACTTCCGACTTCCGCACTCTGAGTTCTAGAACACACTCCGCCCTCCGAATTTCGAGGTAAAGGAGTAAACAAGCGTGTTCCAAAAACGTGTTCTTAGCCTTCCTCAAAGTTTTGCTGTGCGCTGACGAAACTTAAAAATGTGACTAAAAAATAGGAAACTCTTCTTTTTTTTTTGTTTTTTTGGCTTAATTTTTGATGATTGTGAACTTAAGGCTTCACCCGGGTAAGAGATAATACAGGTCGGACGTAAATGGTTTCTCTTAAGAAGGATTATATGGCATATCTGATCAAGTTATGAAAGTTATAGTAGAGCGGTATTAAATTAGTTTTAATGTTTTAAGTTCAACAGATTCCGGCCTCTTTTCTCAGTTGCGAACCCATAACCCCAAATGAATCTGGGTCGACAGAAAACGCAGCTGTGTTAACATGCTATCTGCATGGTTATAAGTAATTTAATATTTGCGGCTTTCTTTCTTGTTTTATTTTTTAGTCGTAATTATATATGTTATAATAAAGCTATTTTTACTGTCGAGGGTACACTAAGGGTGTTCGGAAACAGAAGGCGATATGTATAACTTTCCTCAAAGTTATTCACAAACCCTGACGGTATAAAACCTTAATTATTCTTTCATTGTAAAGTTCGCGCCAGAAAACAATAAATTAGGAAAATCACTTGGAGGCCATTTTAAGGCGTCAAAGGCTAATAATTACAACTCAGCAATGTATTTCTTTGTGCGAACAAGAAAAATACTTTTACATAATTGCAATTTGAGGCGTACACCTTATATTTTGAGACCATTGCATAAAGGTTGTTTGTTGTCGGTTAAGGTTTAATGCAAGGGAAAGAAATTTTCTAGTTCAATGCAACTTGCAGTTGAATACAGCAGTTGCTTTAAAAATGTCTGATCATCGTGTTAAGTACTGTAGGGCAGAAAATGGAATCGAGCTTACAGAAAGCAACAACGTCGATGCCGAAGCAGTCGTCTATCGCTGCCCGCGAAATGGCATGTCGAAACTGGAGAAAATCTTTCTCGCCTGCATAGTTATTTTGTGCTTTACTTGTGCAATTTTCGCGGGTTTATACTTTTCGGAAAAACAGCGTAAACACGTAGAAAACGACAGTGCTTCTAAAGAAAACGGAAATTGGAATTGTAAAGGCTCAAACGACGGTGAAGGTAACGAAGGAAAGAAGGAAAATGAAGCTAAAAAAACCTGTGATTTGAAAGCTAAAAATAAAACCTCTTGCTCAAATGAGGTTGCAGAGCAAGCAGCATTAGGTAAGTTATTAATCGAGCTTGATAAAATATTCCGTGTGCAGTTTATTTTATTTTCACTTGAAACATGTATAGCGAGAAAATATTGCATGGGTTAGCTACACACTTATATTTCTTTTAAGCTGGTACGTTTTGCGAAAACGGCTCATCGTTATTTTCATGGGCAAATCTGGCATCCAGTGAAAACGCAATTCTTTGGATGATAAAATTATCAGCTATCAAATACACCAAAACTTTGCCCGCAGAACTTGCGTGAACTATATAATCAAATATGGAAGATTTGTCTTATTTTATTTTTCTTATAATTTATTAAATTTTAATGAATCGACAAGGTTTTGACCTTGGTCACAAAATGCTACTGCGATAACCGTTTTTCATTGTGGCAGCCGGATTCGTTTACAGAATATGATTATATACATTTGATTAGTCGCATCAATGAAAGATGTGAGTGAAAATGCACAGAGAAAAGAGCTTCACTATTAAGTTTTTTTTTTTTGTGGGCAGATTTCGTAAGGCCTGCCTGACCAAAATTTGCATACTATTCAACCAGGGCTTTTTAAGTAAGTGTCGGATAAATGAGGTAAATTGCCCGTCATTTAACTTAGTACCCTATGATTCTCCAGCAACACCTTGAGATAATCGTTTCTTACAAGTTAAAAGCTGAACGCGATAGTCACACTGGCAGATGCTTCGGATACACGGAAAAATATTTAACAATTATTCCTCGAGCCCGAATGGGCTCTGAGTCAATAGCCCATGAGGACGGAGGCCGAATGGGCTATTGACCCAGGGGCCATGAGGGCGAGAGGAATAATCGTTTTAGTAAAATCCAACTAGTTGGTCAAAAATATCGAGACAAACAACTTTAGCTAGCCAAACGCGATTCATGATCAGCCGCCATTGTTTTGGTTTCAAAGCCGGCGCTTTTCGCCACTAGCGGGCTATAACATACAGCCTAGTAGTAGCTCAACCAATCAGAACGTAGCATTGATAATAGACCACTAGTTGGATTTTACTAAATAGATTTAGCCAAGGCTGAAAGCGAAGCTCTCGTTGATATACTGTGTAGTTTACTCAAACAAAAAATAAATAAATAAAACGTTTCATGCTAAACGGCGACGGCAACGAGAACGGCCAAAAAAGAAAGAAAAAAAAAAGTAGGTCTAATTAGCCAAAAAGAGTCTTTTTTCCGGGGTCTTGAAATAACTACAAACGGCTTAACCTTTGCGTAGCTCGGGTGCCAAGTCAAATAGCGGTAACGTCCTTAGTGGGAACGTAACAGTCGAATAAGGCTGAAGAAACAAGACAAAGTTAGAATACTACAGATGGAAAAAAACGCTCACCTCCATCAAAGCAGCCAATTTTTTTTTTTTCTCAGATGGGAAGCACTTAAATGTTTTGACCGATTTCGTTTAAAGCATGGACACTTCAGTTTGCGAAAGGATTGAAACTATGGTTTGCCATTTTTGAAATTCTGCAAGATCTACACTGTATACTAGCTGTTCACGACATGCACATTTTCCACGTATGAATTGACCATTCGTTCGAATCGGCTAATTATTTATGTTCAGTTTCCTTTCTACTATACGGATGAGATCACTTCGTGTGTGTGTGCTCAAACAATTATTCTTTTTTAGTGTTAGTGAATACTGTAGGCTTAAGGATACCTAGACTTCAATGAATTTTTTTTAAATAAACAGCTGGAGTTTTCCCCCACACGCAACGGCGCGCCGGCTCTCTTTGGTTACTTCCAGGTCAACATGCTAACTCTTTCCCACCACTACTAGCGGGATTCTATTCAGCTCCTTCGACAGGAAGACTCACCAGGGTGACCGATAAAGTCCTTTTCTGCAGAGCCAGTCACCCATCGCCTGTGTCCATCGATCGGCTAAATATCGCTCATTAGTATTCACAAACGCCGGACTAACCAATAGTTAGCAGTCAAGCTTCTCGATTAAGGCTCCTTGATTCCGCTGGACACTTTAAATTCATCTCATCCACCATTGTGCAAGGGTCAATATTATAATTAGAACTTTTACAAGTGTAATTTTCAAGCGTAGCTATTGTTTTCAGACTGTAAAACAATGGCCAAACTTGCAAATTACACTTGTGAATTTTTATTAACTTGACTCCTGCTAATCTTGCTCTGCTCATGTCTGCTCTTGTTGGCTTAGACACTTTTTTTGGCTCGAATGGTACATGGTGGATACTTTTAAGAGTTCAGGGACGTCGGGACATTTCTCCAAATGATTGAGTTAGGGGGGAGTCTCGCTGTCTTCCCCCCTCCTGCCCGCCGTCTCTGATATGCAGTAACGGGTTGATGAGCTGATGAGATTTTTTGCAAGGGTATTACGTCGATAGTTCAATGGACGCTTGGGTTACCTACGCGAAAAGCTCTTGTCGTGACGTAAAAGTCGTTATGGACTCGCACTACCGCACAAGACAGGAAAATAACATGATAGCAGAGTAAACTCAGGTGACCTGTGGAGATGTCAACAAAGGAAGTACTGCTTGACCGCGTCAGCTATATTTTTTTGTATTGACAGTGGGAGAATTTAATGTAAATTTTGGCCATTTAAAAGGCAAATGTCGCTTGTTGTCGCCCAATGCCTTCTTCAAAAAAAAAAACAAATACGAAAGAACAGAAAGAAGAAGACTAAAGGAGAGAAAGAAAGAAAAAAAAGAAGTACAGTTTAGAAAAGCAGACAGAGTTAGAGGAATTTTCGAAAGGAGCGATTAAGAACGCGAATCAGTTACGAGAGCACGAGACTTAATCGATTTGTATGCATGTATATGATGCTGTAGTTAAGTGATGTTCGCTCCTCGTCTATTCAAAGCCGAACGACAAAAGACGTGGAAGTTTTAACTAAAGGTCGCTAATTTCCTTTGTTTGCAGTCAGCATCCCGGTAAAACGGATTTGCATATAACAAGTAGCGAGCGGTCTCTGTTTTGTACTCTCAGTCCTGGATGTAGCGCTATGACTTTGAGCTAAAATTTAGTCAATTACACGAGCGTCCCAAACAGAGGCAATTGACAAGAGGATAACGTGCTGAAACTGACCGCGTAGAACTGTGGATTCGACCGGTGTATAAGTTTAGCGACTGCTCAAGGAAACTGCATCTTTATTGCAAGCTATGCATCGAAATACTCGCAAAGCTGAGCTAGATGACCTGATAAACGCTAACCATCTTCCAAACAAGAAGTGCGGCGATGAATCGCCAGTCTTTATTCGAAATGTCCATCGTTCAATTTATTTCGAAGACGTTGAACCTCAGCCAACGAGTGTAAAACCATTGCCTTCGCCGTCCTCGAAATTAACAAAGCGGGAGAATTGGATGATCGTGGGAATTGTTTTCCTTGCCATTTTGTTGATTATTTTTGTCGCGTTGTTCGCACATGCGAACCAAGCAAGAAGTAGACTGATCCGTATTTCCGAACACCAACCTAGTAAATCATGGATTAATTTAGCATCAGGTAAGTTTGTCAGCTATAAGTAAGTTTTATTTCGTTAACAGTTTTGTTTGTTCAGATATACTGCGACTTTTGAAAGGTTCAGCTGCGGTTGTAAATACGCATTAGCTGATGACAGCTTTGGCGTCCATTGAGGTATATCAAGTAACTGCGTGTTTCACCTGGTCCAGTGATTTATTTCACCTTTTTAAACGGTTATATTACGAACATGGTTATCAACTAATTTACATAACTGTTGTACAAATATAAACGTACAATTCAAAAAAACTAACCCATATTATACAACAATGACCAGTCACGTTTTCTCCTCCTTTTAAATTTTCTATTGCTGCTTTTTCGGGGTGACACTGACACTTTTTTTTGGACACCTTTCCCGAAGAATTTCATCAACGAAATACTCTAACATCTTTAAATGATTTTGATTTCATTAACTGTAAACATGGTTTTGATTTTGTTCGTTTGATGAAAAATCAGTGCCTCATTAGTTATCAAAGCTACTTTTTTTATTTCGATTTCCCTTCTTTGGACTAAAACAAATAGGAGATTATAATCAGTTTTTTTTATGACCGATTTTTGTGCGACTCTCCTCTATTTCTATAAGAAGCAAATATCTATTCGAATGATTATATAGTATTTAATGTTTAAAGTAATTTGTTAATAGAGTCATAAATATGGAAATGAAGTATATTTACTTGTCTGAAAAAGTAAAGTGTATTATAATCATGATTCAGTAATTTACGGGACTTCAAGCCAAAGTTATAAATATTTGACTGGATAAACTTAGTAAGTTTGGTTGACGTATTTTTCAGTGACGTGACATGATGCGATATTCAATGCATAATTTGATGAAACTTGCCTCCACTGTACTGTTTTCGAAACGATACGTTGGTCCTTTGCATTTACCGGAATTACGTTGCTGAAGCCATATGCATTGTTTTGTCAAAGCTACAAGTCCAAACGAGATAATACAAACCGCTGGGGTCAGATTTCTTAATTTTTGTTTTATTTTAGTTTGGTTTTTACGTATGAAATGCAGAACAAATTAGTGGATATTGAAATAAATATGCGGTATTTTTTTTTAGAGGGAATCAGGCAAATGTTTCAACTATAAGATTAAGGGTTTTGTGCAAATCTCATTAAAAGTAGCAGAAAGGTCGTTTGTAGATAATTGTTGGCTTACTGTGGCAGTTATCGGTTTTGGTGATTGTGTAAAACGTCATTTAAAATCTCCTCATTGCGGGCATATTCTTAATATCGACCATTCTTGTGGTTTACATATAATACTCCGTGTCTGTACGCGCACGCGCATATTATAGCACTCCCACCGTTTTGTGAGGCATTTTAATTATTCCGGATATCACAAAAATCTTATCTAATCCGTTAAAGCTTCATAAAGTGGTTCCATGGCTTTTTTTTCTGTAGTTGGTAGCTTTCCAAAATCTTTTGCCGGCATATTGTATGCTTTTCCCTGGTTAGTGTTCCATAAGGCAAAAATTTCTTAATACCTTTGGGCGGCGTTCTAGTCACTTTTAGCCAAGGTCTAGGATAGTGTTATCTGCGCCGGCTGAGACATTGATTCCTCTTGATATCACGAAAACATGTTCTAATAATTGTTTTATTGTTTATTGCATTGTTTAGAAGAAAGAAAAAAGACAAACATTGCTTTTGTTAATCACGCATTGTGGGCGTCTAACCTTTACACTAGGCCGTTGTATTCGCTCGAAAATAACGAACTAATCTGTAGCTTGGGCTGATGGCGCTGCTGGCTCTAAGCTAACGAGAAGACAAATATTGAGTACATGTACCATGTATAATAACAAGAGAATTGGTCACTATTTGCAAAAACTGCCATAGGCATGGAAAGTTTTTTCTTTCTTTTTATGTCTTATCTGTTCTTAAGGTCAATTTATTGAATCTCTCGTTGCACGCTCAACTGAGTGCTTAACAATCCGGAAAAGTCTAAAAAAAATTCCGTGCAGATCAATGAGGCAGTAGCCCGCGTAGGTGGCGGTATGGTGTAGTAGTCGAGTGAGAATTGGCAGCGAAGCCGTCAAGAGCGGCGTAAGCTACGAGAAACAGAAATACCCACTCCCTTAATCGCACACCGAGACAATATCGCCAGCTACGCAGGCTAATGCGGCAGCAATATCGTAACAGAAAGAAGGATGTCTTAATATGTCTCTAATATTAGTACCTAGTATATTTTTATATGTACTTGTTTGTAGTATTTTAACCCTCGGACGTACACGCAAATTCATACCCCCCACCGTGGTACAAGGGGATGGGGGTGGAAGGAACCCCTCGCCTGAGTTTTTAACATGTTCAAGTTGCAGTATTTTGAAACGATTTTACCTTTAGTGGAAAGCCTTTGATCTTCTTGACAAGATCAGGTATATGTTTTGGGTGGTGGCGCTGCTGGAGGCCTGTGACGTCACCAAAAATGGTCGCCATCTTGGCCGCCATCTTGGATTTTACCAAGAATGAGAAATCAGGTTAAAACCGCGAGAAATGGTAATTTTTTGTGCTTTACATGAAAAATAACACACACTTAAGCACTTTGCATGATTCTACCCACATGATATACTTTTATGTACTTTTAGCAACTGACCATCACTAAACTTGTCTCAAAATCTGCGCAAGGGGTAAACGAACAGCTATTGAAAACGTCAGGGGCTTATGTTTTATCCTCTAGGAAAAACCTCAGAAAAACCTTATGGGGGGCATCCACCCCCCTTGTATGTCCGAGTAAAAATTTTATTCCAGCATATCTCTATTTTCCTTGTATTTAGTTGCATTCGTGATAGTGATAGTTTATCTCAGCCCTTTACCTCCTTTTCCCAACCTAGTGATCGTGAAATAATCTGGGTTGCTGATAATGATGATGATAAAGGTTGGTGCGACTGCACACAAGCGGTTTTTTTTTTCGGCACTCAGTCGTACCCAGCCATTCTCTCTGTCGGTCGCGTGACGACACACAATAAGTACGCAGTTGCTTATATAGGGGATTCACTGTATTCTTCACCTTCCGGATTTTAAAAGGCGACTTTAAGATCCAACGACCCGTCGGCAACGAGAACGTCGCTTTAAAAGTGAATTTGCGCTCTTTCAGTCTTTATCGTGATTATCTCTGCCCACGTACTTTGTCAAATGTAGGCGAACCCTCCTGAAGTTGAACTCCAAGGGACCATATCCAAGTTCAAAGAGAGAAAAAAATTTCGTCTTTGCTTGTTTACGTTGTCCATAAAACTCGAATTTCGGGATTCTCACTTCGTAGTCGTGCAAAACGGACAAGAAATGTACAAAACGTGTGGTGGACGTGTGTAATTTTTTTTTTTTGGCTTAGTAAGCCCTTTTTATGTCGTTCTCTTTGCCATCGCGTTGTGGGACCCAGGGCCCAAAGTTAACTTTTTAGTGCACTTGCAAAGTTTTGCTTGTAAGATTTTTTTCCACTCGCAAACTGGTGAGACCACCAGCAAATTCTTTTCCTATGAAATGTCAATGACCATATCTGATATCTGATGTAATGAAAATGATAGCTCCAAAACCACGAGGAACAACAGCAACACGCGAATGCGAATGTGTGGCACAGAGCCTCGTTGCAATACCGCTGGCCAGTGGCTAACAAAAAACGTGCTCTTCTCAACTCAGCGACCGCTGTTTTATTTGTCTCAGATGTCGTCCACACATTCCCTCTTGCGTTCGAACAGCTTTCTCCAAATGTTTGGGAGACGTGGTTGATTCTAACTCGCTAAAGTTTGCTAGTGGATATTTTTCTCACTCGCAGATTACCAAAATCACTCGCATTTTGCGAGTTTGCGAGCGTTAATTTCGAGCCTTGGGACCTTAAAGTCCCTAAAGGGGAAGACGGGATAACTTTAAACCGTAATTAGATTCATGAACAGGGTGTCTTTTGCATTTGACTTCTGCATCAGACAACTTCAACGAATTAAACTGCTCCCAGAAAAAGCATGTGTCGCAGGCTATGTTGTCGGTACATCCATTTAGAGCGTTCGCTTGCCAGTAATGCGTGGCCTTGGTTCAAGTCTCGGTGTTACATCAAATATGGTTTCCGTTTGTCGGTTCTTGTCCTTTTCCTGAAAGGTTTTGCACCGAGAATTCCGGTTTTCATCTTTCCGCAAAAACCAACATTTCCAAATCCCGAAATTCGGTGGTTGCTGAGCAACGTTTGACAGCTGTTAAAGTCTCGAGCCAGCCCGAATATTTCCTTTGTACCATGAGCGTTTGATCGGTGCAGTCATTTGACTGTTCGGTCTCTCAAATATTCGCTTTGATTATTAAACTCCTTTCTTCAAATCCCCACGCATGCGCAGTATCCTTTCTGTCCGTGGAGTGTCCTTATGCATTGAAACCTGAATGGTGGAAAGCCCAAAAGACTCAGAGTAATGCTTTTTAGGACTACGCTCACCTGCACGATCATGCTCGACATGCTTATGAAATGACTCCCCCGTTCAAACCTTTCAGTGAACATACATGTATGTATGTTGTTGTCGTCATCCTCTGACCCGGATCCTCGGACAATTTTTATAATAATATGTATAATGCTTAATGTCACTTTCCCGCGACTTGAAATACAGTCTCTTTTTAACAATAGAGACCGTTAAATTCTAAGATGAGGAAGACGTTTTCTTAATATTAAGTAGCGAGCTCGTTAACCGGCGCCATTTTGGCGGGAAAACGTAACAACTGTCATCTTTTAGAATGAGTTTTCGCAAGATATGTCGTAGTGACGGAGACAAGTCATCAAATCAGGTTAAAAGTTTTATCACTTTCGAACGGGAGAGGGCTCAACCTCCTTCGTGAATAGAAATAACCGTGTTAACTTTCCTGGTGAAAACTGAGTAAAATGAAGCTTTCCGGGATATCTATTTGTCTGAGAGTACGCGAAAAAAATCAAGTTTAATCTTGTGTTCCTAGTAGTCTTCGTCCTCGAATTTAAAGGTCTTTAATATTAACTTAAAACCGTTGAATATGTTGCCTTTTTCTTGCACTTATTTTGTATTCACATTTGCATTTTTTTTATTTCTTCTCATTCTTCTTTTTTTTTCAGATATGCTCAATGCAATGAACTCGAGCGCGGATCCCTGTGATGACTTCTACGAGTACGCATGTGGGTCTTGGATGAAAAATAATTATATTCCCGAGAGCAAGTCATCTTGGAGTCAGTTTCGAGAGCTCTATCAGAGAAACGAACTGGTAATGAAATCACTTATTGTGGACAACAAGGAAACAAGAGAGAAATACAAAGATGTGAGTAGATGAAAATTGATTCTTTGTTGTTGTTGTATGTTTCTTTGACTTGTCTTTGTTTTATGCACTAAGACTATGGCCCCCGTTTTGAAAGTCCATACTTATTGCTTCGGGAAAGTAAATAAAACACGACTTTTTGAGCCATCCCAGTCGAAAATTTCAGAAACATGCACATACGGAGTGTCTGAAAAGGTAGTCATCTGTTGTCTTTCGGTGGGATTGTTCCAAACAGGAATTCGTATTCTATTTCTTGTAATGTTGAAATGTTTACAAATGGTCAATTGTAACATGAAATTTTTCACTCCTAGAAGAAATGAGTGAGTCTTCTAAGGTAAATCTAACGTTTGAGTCAGTCTTGGAGTCTGCAGATGAAATCTTTAGCAACCGTTTTTTCACTTGAACTAATCTTTAGCATTTTACAAAATAGTCTCCTTCCTAGCCGTAATTAGGGTCGTCACGCAACGCTCCTCCACACTAGTGGGGAGGAGCGTCGCGTGACGACCCTAATAACGGCTGCGAAGGAGACTATTTACAAAAATGAAATTAGAAAATTTTGTTGAATCTCGACCTTGGCTACTTCTCAAAGTGAAAGATTCAAAATTCGGCGGAAGGAAACGGTTTTGCGAGTGAAAAAAGATGTCATATAATCCAGTAGGCCATTACAGGTTCCAGTGGGTCAGAGCTGGCTCACAATCTAGTTGCCTGAGAGCAAGCTCTCACTGGGCTCCTGGGGGTACAAGAGTGGGGAGGTGAGAGTGGAAGGAGAGCTTGCACTCGCGTCTCATAAATTTGAATATCTGCGTCCCAGAATGGCTGCAAAATGCTGATTGGCTGATTTCCATTTTCGCCCCGCCGCCCGAGCGCCTCGGAGAGCGTACAGTCTGGGAAACAGGCTAATAGACATAGACATTTAGACAAACTCTGTCTACAGGTAGCTATTATGACACCTAAAGGAGTATCATGAGGTCGTCCGTATATAAGATCTCTCCTTACAGATAACCCACCCAGGCCAATAAAGGTTGGCCACACCAACAGGGTCTACGTCCCCTCCTCTTTTTGATCTTCTGTGTTGGTTCTTTTACGTCTAACAAGAAGCAGATAAGTGAAAGTGCTGTGAGACCGGACCTACGGATTTTCGCCCTTATCCGAGAAAACTAGAAAATCTGACCGTTTGCAGATTTTATTAAAAATGCAGCACTTTCTTCTCAGTTATTTAAATACCCTGAGTGTTGGTCCGGCCGGGGGTTTGAACCTGCGACCTCCTGCTCAGCAGACCGGCACTCTCCCTTCTGAGATAACCGGGAGGCGGTTAAAAAATCTACTTGATTATTTCATACTTTTAGAACGAAGCAATCATGAAAGGTTTCGACATGTTCGATTCCTGCATGGACGAGGAAACAATTGAAAAACTCGATGCTACTCCCCTGCTTGAACTTATCAAAGAGTACGGATCATGGAACGTTACCGACGGAAACTGGACGGAAGATTCGTGGGATTTCATGGACACATTCGTTAAAATTCAAAAGTACCTGTCAATAGCACCTCTTTTCAACATGTACGTGTCAGCGGATCTAAAAGACTCTACTAAAAATATAATTGTGGTAAGTTATCCTAGCTTATCTTGGTAGTTCGTGCAAACGGACCCAATAACTCCCAACATTGTTGGGACTTGTTGCGTCCGTTTGCACATAGCTAAATGTTTAACCGGTTTCAAACTTTGCGCAACAACTACCAATAACACGCAACAACATGCAAAAGGGTGTGCGAACGGACGCAACATAACATCCAACAATGTTGGGAGTTGTTGGCCAACAATGTCGCGTAACAAATGAAATGCCGTGTCACGGTGTCGAACCTAACTGATTAATTACTACGGGTTGAAAATGGAAACAGGGGTCTTTTTTGCATGAGCATGCGCGACCGCTGAACAAGCAATGTGCATGGAGGCTCACCACAGGTTTTGCCTTCATCAAAATGGCGCGTCTCAAAGCTATCATAGCGATTATTTTGCTCGTTGGTCTAGGCGAATGTGCTCGTGATTTAACAAAATGTGTAGTTTGCAAAAAAAACGCTAACATGGACTTAACAAAAGCGAAGTAGACCGGCTTTAACATACACGAGCTACTATCAAATTTCATCTCCCCACTTGACCTGGACAACAGCGCGCGTATATGTAGTGCCTGGAGGAGTGCGCTGACCTCATCAAAGTCTAAACAAAGTGCAGAAACGTTTGTTGATGCAAGTAAACACTTTCAATTTTCTTTGTTTTTAAATGGGAAAGGAAGAGAAATATCAAAAAAAAAAAACATTGCAAATTTCAGCGAGTGGGTTCGAAGTGCGCGAAAGCCGATGTTCAGTTCAGCAGTGAATTAATATATGTTCTACAATTTTCCCAGCACTTTAAAGCTACAAAATTAAGAGCACACGAGACGTAGATTAGTCACCTGGTGAGATGTTGGTGGTAGTCACTCTGTATGTCTCGAACAATAAAAAAAATGAATATCAATGAGACACAGTCAAAACTGCATTCAGTTGGACCGAAATTAAAGTCCAATCTTGTGACCGATTTTGATGAAACAAACGGTTAGGTTTCCCAAGAAGTACAGTAAACATGTGATGCCGACCAAAAGAAAAATCCAAACATTTAAGTTCTGGCCAAAAAATTCCTGTAAAAGATGCGTTTAGAACATTTAAGTTCTGGCCAAAAAACCAGTTCCAATCAGAAGCCGCCGTTCTGGCGACCGTTGGTGCTGGTCTGGTAAGACATTCCTTTTCCGCCTGTAAAATCTGATGCGTTACAATGTTAGTCCACGCCAAAACAAGAAGTTCTACAATTTCCCTATAAACAAACTTTGTATCGCTAAAATACTTAAGGCAAAAACTTTCTATTCCAACTGAAAACGGCGTGGTAGTCGCCCGCTGATCGTTATTAATCCACTCCCGAAATATGGCTAAATCAGCCATTAACAAATTATTGACAGAAATCCTCTACGGCACCGAGAAACTGATTTACATCCGATTTATAGACATAAGAGCTTTTATTTAGATCCTATTATAGATAAACACTAAATAAAGAACATTTTGCTCAATAGCTACGCATCAGCAATGCATTCTATGCCAAACTTTGCGGTCCTTAAAGTGGAATCAAGACACGAGTCGAGCGCTAAACAACAACAAGCAGCCATGTTCGTGTCAGACATCCTTGAGAAACTTGCTCTTTCACCTCGTTCAGTGCATCAGTCTCTACTTTAGCCAACAGATCTTTACTTATTTTGTACAACGAAGGTCTTTCCTAAGTTCCTGCTACCATTTCAATCTCAAGCAAGCTTTCAAAGTGAACAATTTGGTTCCTATGACTATGCAGCACGGTCGCTGTCACTGGTCGCGTGCTCTTTGACAAGTCAGCGGTCGCCCATGCTCATGCAAAAAAGACCCTGTTGAAAATGGATGGATAGATACAAATTCAATGTGCATATTATGTAAATAGTTCCTACTCATGGTTTCACCACCAAGCTTCGTTTTGAAACTGTAAATTTGCGAAGTTTTTCATGAATAAATCCCCAAGGCACACGTGTTGGAAGGAATACCCATTCGCAAAGAGTGCATGTGCAAACAAGGCTTGGTGGTGAAATTTGCTCGTCTGATGTAAACATGCATATTATAAGGGTTATGGAAAATTTGATGGCTAGCTGCGCAGCTCGTTCCAAGATCCTCCTTGAAAAGCGAAGCTAAACTTGCCTATTAAAGAGATTATGGTATTTTCCCGAAACACTGGAAAAAATTAGATTTTGTATTGATTTATTATTTTGTTGAAGCTAAAGGATTAATAGACTTTTGCAAAATTAGGACTTGATTCCTCAGCTCACTTTCCGTTAATGCCATACAACACTTTGAACAATCGTTCCTTTGCTTGGGGTGTACCAAAAATGGTTTTGAAACTATTTTTTATATATATAGCAGTTGTTATTGACTGATTGATTGATTGATTGATTGATTTTTTTTTCAGCTTGACCAGTCTGGAATCGGTATTTCCCCCGAAGCTTTTCTAAAGAACAGTTCTTATCACAGAAAGGTAGATGAGTATGAACACTGGCCTAATTTTTTGTTGTAGGCTGTACTTGGAAATAAATGGCGACATTGGGGTAGGATTGAATGAGAGGTGGTCTCCTACTCCTTCATAGTCTTCGTTGGAATTCGCGCGGAAAAGCCATGAATAATGTAAAGCCGACGGAGGTGGATAGTATTTCTGCGAGCATAGAGCGTTATTACTCACGTGGCCCGCATCATTGCAAATTTATTGCAACATAAAAAGTGACTGCATGATAAAAGAGTTCAACTCCCACAGGATTTCTTTGGAACACCAACATAGTCCGCTGTTTCATTGTTTTGGAACACCAATATGGCCGCCGTGACCTCATGTGAAAGCGCTCTATTATGATATTTGCCTATTTAAAGAAAATTCTTTATGGTCGTGAATTAGAAGTTCGGCTTGATAGAATATCCTGGAATCGTATTTCTAAAGTAATACTCCCACCTATCCTTGCTTTTTGCGAGCGTGAAAAGAGAGAGATTTAGACTCACGTTGCACCAGAAGGTAAACGTGAACTTGTATCACGTGATTAGGCTTTCCATTAGTTATTGTTTGCTGTGCATTACATTTACACAAGAAAAAATATTTTTGTGTCAGCTTCACCCATTAAATTTAGGGTGGAGATTTTAATCTGCTCTTTTCATAATTTGAGAAGTTCTCAACTTGAATCAGATGTTTTCCTTTTCTTTTAAAGGCGCTTCTAAATCTTTCTTACAAGAAGCTCGTGGCATATTTTATTTTACTTTTGTAGGTCCGCAAGGCGTACAAAAAATTCATGGTAGATCTTGTTAAACTGCTCGGTGATGTTCCAAACGCGGAGGCCATGATGATGGAGATTTACGATTTTGAAGAAACACTAGCAAAGGTAAGTCGAACTTACTTTCTGGCTCTGATATTTTGGATGCATTTTCAAATTCAGGTGCACGATACACTGAACCCACGAAATGAACTATTTAACAATTATTCCTCGAGCCCAAATGGGCTCTGAGTCAATGGCCTCATTGAATCAGAGGCCATGAAGGCAAGAGGAATAATTGTTTTTGTAAAATCCAACTAGTTGGCCAAAAATATCGAGAATAAAAAAACTTTTACCTAGTTAAAGCTAGACTTTAATCCTTTTTTGCCGCCAAAAAGCCCGCGCTTTTCGCTACTAGTGGGCTATAAACATTTATTAAAAACTGAATCATTGGATAATGCAATTCTAGCATTTTGATTGGCTTAGCCGTTATGGTATATGAGCTATTATACCATGCTCTCCATATATGGTTGGTGTACGCGTCAGTTTAAACTTGAAGGTAGCTGAGATTTTTTTTCGCGGAGGATAGAACGGCGCCCGAAGCAAAGTTCATTTCTTAGAATACTAGAAATGCAATTTCATCGAAAGAAAAAAGACAAAAACAAACAAAAAAGCCACAAGAGCTTGTTTGAAAGTTTGTCGAAAAACACATGAAAACACATGGAACTAAAGTATCTTGACCAGCTACGAAAGAAGACAAGTGTTGTTTCTTCATCGCGAAGCCATTCGCCGATCGAGTCACTCGCCGATAGATAACTGCGGCTTGTTTATCCTACATCAAGAATATAAATCACAAGTAACCAGCTACAAATACAGGCTATGCAGCCATTCACTAGAGCAATCGAGGCGGCAGTATAGCTTCTTTTCTCGTTCAGCAAAACCAGCTTGTGGCTTCAAACAACTTCATAACAAGCGACCGAGGTAATAGTTTTTCTCCGTTGTTCTTACTTTTATAACTGCACTGAAAATCCCAATTCACAGTAATTTCCACGGCTGTCACTTAAAAATTCTTTTCCTTCACATTATCTGCCAGCTTTTTTTTAGCTGTTCTGCTGTGTAAAATCCTAGAATCCCGATGAGTTTTTAATGTTCATCGCTATAATGTTTTGATTTTTCATTCATGCAGTCCAGGAGAGTTTGTTCGTGCGTTGACAGTTTTGATAGACGTGTGACATGTGAATAGCGGAAGTCTCTTGTCTTTTCCGGTTTGTTCTAGTCGGGGAGATTCAACGAGATTTTGTGGGCGTTTTTAATAAAACAATTATTCCACTCGCGCTTGTTGGATATGAGATGATTATAGCCAACTCGGCGCTACGCGCCTCGTTGGCTATCTATCATTTCATATCCAACGCGCCCTCGTGGAATAATTGTTAAATAGCCTAGTAGTAGCTCAACAATCAGAACGCAGCATTGATAATAGTCCACTTGTTGGATTTTACTAAAACGTCTTTAGTTGCGGTTTACTAAGTATACATTCGTGTCTCATATATTTTGTCGAGCACGAGCCATGAACCTTTATCCTTCTGAGTCAATTCTTAGCCCCGATGAGGCCGAAGGTCCAATGGGCTATTGACTCAGAGGCCATGAGGGCGAGAGGAATCGTCTACACTGCATCGTTGATTACTATTCTCAAGTTGTCTTTCTGAAGCATGAGATACTTAAATTTTGAACCCCAATAGGTTTATTGTCTTAAAGGATAGCTAAAAATGTTAAATTAAAAGCAAGCCGTGAATGGGGGTGGGTCAAGAATTTCCGTGATGTGAGAGGAACATCAGCATGGTTCATGCTCGGTCAGCGGTATCTACCAACAGTCAAGACACTTTTTCTCATAACTGCTATAACCAGGTACCTATCATAGGCTCCTGCTTTAACTTAGTTAAACTCGTCATTTTTCCGAGATAAAAAAGAAGCAAGGTTTTCAATGTGGATTGAATAATTGAAATGGAAAGCACCTGAATCTCCCTAGGGCGTATTGAAACCGTAAAACCGTTAAAAAGAAATCGGGTAACCATATTTTCCACCTTCGAGTTGTAATCTCTTCTAATTGATTTACCTGTTACTTTCCTCTACAGAACTTTATCCCCCGTGAACAACGTCGAGATACAAACAAACTTTACAAGAAGATGACACTTAACGAGTACATCAAGTCCTCTGATCTAGAAGTAAGTGTCTCAGGCGACATGTTAGAGACCTTTATAAGCAACAACGACGACGACGGCTACGAAAACGTCACTCAAAAAGTGAATTTATTGCTGATTCAAATTTTATCGCGCTTATTCTATCTTGTTTACTTTGTCAAATTTTGGCAAATGTTTTTGGAGTTGAATTCTAAAGGAGTGTAACAAAGTTCAGGAAACGAAAAAGAGGGTTGTTGTCTTGTGTTCATGTCCTCTACAAAACGTGAATTTAGGCACTTTCACCTTGTCGTGCAACGACGACACAAAATGTACAAAAAAGCGTGATGCACGTGGAAAGTTGTTGTTTTTGCTAATCTAAACCTATTACGTTTTTGCCGTTCTCGTTGCCGTCGCCGTCGTCATTGCTTAAGCTCCCTAGTAACGTCCCGGCGGCGGGGAGGGGCACTCAACAAAGTTTTGTATGAGGAGCTCCCCCCATGTCCAAACCCCTTACCCTTTTAGTAAACACTATTTTGAACAGGAAAGTTACCTCTTTAGGCGCTCATCCAAATGTCAGGTAGCATATTAAAAGCTTTTAAGCAAGGTACCAAGCTTTTTGAGAAAAATCCACTTTTCTGCATAAAACAACCAAATCTGGCCATTTAGTGTAAAATCATTTGAGAAAATCGGCCAAAGGCGATTTTTAGGTCATTTTTTTTTTTTAAAAGCTTATAGAATTTATTACAGTGGAAATCCGCCTTACGGCCACCTCGGTAATACAGTCACCTCCTTATTACGGCCACTTTTTTTGGCCGCCGGCGGCAAAAACAACCATACATTTTCTTGTTAAGAAACCCTCGTCGAACCCTGGACCTCCTACGAAGTGCTTGTCCAACCCGACGATTTGGACCTCGCACTCTGTAATCTTCGTTGAATAAATGAATATTTCTTGCCTTGTAGATTGACTTACTGGATTTTATGAAGAAAATGTTTAACCAAACTGGTTATAATATAACAGGGGAGGAAAAGGTGGTTTCATATGCGCTGGATTATGTCAAGAATATGTCTCTTATTTTTAACAGAACAAGTAAAAGGTAATACATATATACATTTGTTGTTGAAACATATGTAATTAAAAAACAAAACAATAGAGAAGGTTATAGAGCCATGTTTATAGCCTGCATAGCTGGCGGAATCGTTTTTGTGCGTGTGAAAGTTTTGGCGGCGAAGCTGCCATATATTCTTACGCTTTGCAGGGCGAAGAAACATGGATAATAGAAAGACTCTATTATCCATACGAGCTAAAAAGCAAACACCGAAGGAACGGATTCAAGAATTTCAGAGCGTCTCCTTTCCAATCAGTTCAATAACCAGAATATAACACCATCAACTGACGTGATACAACTCACTTTGACTCTCAGAAGATGACTACCGCGCAGGTTGTCGAAACGTCAGTCACTGTCAACAACAACAGTCCTATTCAGGACTACTTTCACTCGGACGGTCAAACTCGACCTACTTTTGAAACGACTCCTGGGTTCAAACCTTTCACTAAACATGCTTTGTTGCACCGGCGCAAGTTATGAAGTCAAACTGTCTTATTGAGCATAGACAAGAGAGCATCCTGTCTTGGCACAGACAATTCCTTGTATTGCAGTCCCCACCTGAAGGAAGGCTTTCTGAAGCCTGCACGACAACGCTGAATGCTGTACGAAAGGGGAACAGAGAATCTGCCCTGCTCGCCAAAAGAGTTTGGCACAACTTAACGTGCATAGCTTCGTTCTTCTCTGCATTCCCTCTCTGACGACATCATTATCAACAGAGCATTCCTAGAACGCCAGAAGGCGTTTTGCCGAATAGTCAAAGGAGAAGCCGATCGGTTACAACGAAATCAACGTATTTCTAACGAGGAAGTACTCGCATGCGAGCCGAAGGCCAAGTTCAGAGAGTGCGCCTTACGGCAGTGAACGTATACTGCTTGTGGTGTACGTTGCTTGATTATATCACGTGCACAGTCTTGTGACGCCTGTCTATAGACTTTGAAAGTAGAAGTACAGTGTAGGAGTACTGCAGGGCCCTTTCTTGAGGAGCCGCATACCATCGATGACACTCTCGGCAAACGTTTTTGGAATATGAAAACATACAAAAAAATATTGTCTTTTTTCAATCTGGCCGTTCGAAAAATAGTTCACCCCAAAATCTTTTAAGCCCGTGCTTAACTGGCTTACAGTCAGATAAGCCCCTGGGATTGTAAATCTCTCTAACATTTGCTCGATGTATCGCAGTGTATCGGTGGCAGGCGAAACTTTGATAATTAAACAACGATCACATGAGTTTTACTGGGAAGAATAAAAAATATTATACTACATAACTGTATTACGAATGTCTATAGGTATCCACACCCTTTGTGATCACTTTCTATCCATGTTTTGTTCATAGAATAATCGCCAACTACATGATGTGGAAAGTTGTTGTACGTTTCGCTTCGTCCTTAAGCCTCAAGTTTCGAGACGTTTACCAGGAGTACAGTAAATCTCTTAGCGGGGTCGCCGGGGAAGATCCCCGCTGGCAGGATTGCCTTGGTATGGTAGATGGATCATTCGGGATGCCGTTCGGTTTGCTGTTTGTGAACAAAGCCTTTGAGGGAGAAAGCAAGAAATCGGTAGGAACTGAGTGTTACTCTCCTGGTGTTGGAGATCAGATGGTTGAAGGCTTTATTGACAAAATGACGTAATTTGACGTCATTATGGCGTCATATTGTTGAATTTATATCATTGACAGAATCCAAATTCTATCAATTTTTCTCCTCAAATCGAAAAGCAAACTTAATAGTAAGGTGTCTGGCAAAATTGAGAAGTTGGCTTACACATTAATCATCTTTAACAGTTCCCTACTCAAGAAACTCTAAAGAGAATGGATACAAGCTTTGGGTGCAGTGTAGCCTGTTCCAGGCTCCAAGATAGTGGTGAAAAGTTGTTCAGTAAAAAGGTGTAAAAAGGAAATGCGAAAAACGCGTGGGGGCTGGGGAGAGCGCCCCCTTTCCCAAGTCGCACCCGTCTTATTTTCGCTCTGCTCGTTTTAACCTATTAAGCCCCAATAGTGACCAACATAAGATTTCTCCTAACATTACCCATACATTTTCAGGAGATAAGGTTATGAGAATTAATATAATGATCACCAAAGAGAAAATGCCTTGATCTTTCATTAAGATCTCTCAACTAATTCTTAAAGGAAATGTACGTAGATCACTTTGGAGAATTTGTACCTATATATTAGGGCTTAAAAGGTTAATACGTCCCCACTGCACTACCTGGGAGCCTGACACAGGCTAGGTGCAGTGATTCCTAGGATCGTTTTGGTGGACAAGCATCAGTTATGATTGGTCGATGGTATTCAAGGCAACCATTAACCAATCATAAGTAACGTTTGTCCACCCAAACGATGCCGGAAATAGTCAACCTCACTCGTTCCCAGGGTCCTCTCCTACTCAGCCCACGGGGCCGAATAGGAGAGGGAAATCCTGGGAACGAGGTTGAGAAAGAGTTACGCCGAAAGCTTGTACCCATTCCCCTTATAGCTTCTGGAGTGGGGAATAACAGTGATGTCATTAGGACTTCATTTACAATTAAAGAAGAAGCTTTAACCATCCGTCATCTTGGATCTGCCGTTCTAGATGAATTAAATGTACTCAATTTTTCTCAAAACCAATGTGAATCAAGGTCATCGTGATAGAAAAATTAATCTGTGCATAAAATCTACATGTTGTGTTATACCGAGAGAAACTTAACACTGTTGGAAACTGCCTAGTATTGAAATGCAATAATTCAATAAGTAAAAGCAGAAAAAAAATCCTTTTTTGTAGGGAAAAAAGCAAGTTTTGAAAAACACGGCTGTGAAAACTCGGTAACATCGATGTTGACGTACACGTGTCCACGACTTTAAAATATTACCAGATAATTTTAAGGAGAAGTATTTTGATGGCCCTACTGTTAAACCCACGGCTTTGAAGTCACTGAACTTTATAGCCATATAGGGTTAACTTTAACTTTATAGGTTTAATTTGCTTGGGGGACTGTGGACAAGCCTGTCCTTGCTTACCCTGCGGGAAGAGGTTACTCTCTTGCATGGCTTTTAGCGTTTGGTAAGTCGTTCACGTCACGTTCACGTCGCGTAGTTGGTTTCCTTTATACGCCTCGGGAGTTTTTATTCCCTGGATCCGCCACTAGTGTAGAACAATAAAAAGATAAGCAGTTCATATCAGTAGTTCACTGTTCATGTGTGCTGTCTAACGAGTACGGTATTCTCAGTTTCTAGTTTTTTCGCAATGATATTTCTTCGTATCCACTTTCTCTTGTCTGTAGGCTGAAGAGATGATCCATGATATTAGACAGGTTTTCCTTGCTAATCTGGATAAACTGGAATGGATGGATGACGCCACAAAGGAGAAAGCAAGAGAAAAGGTTCTGTGCACGGGCAATAAGGCGTTCAGTTTTAAACAGCAAAGTTCTTAATTGGTATTCCATCAAAAAGCTGGAGGAAAACCGCGGCAAATTCTACCTTTAGTTTCAGTTTTTCCTTTGGCCCTTTATCATTATCATCATCATTATTATTATCATCATCATCATCACTTATCATTACCGATATTATGCTTAGTGTGTGCTTGAAAACTATTGTAATTTTCTTCCTGCATGTTTGATTGTTCGTTTATGTCCCTTTTACGGTTGTATTTTACTTAGAACACTGTCAGTTTATAGTTATTTTTTCTTTTCTTTTTTTTTTCAGGCTAAAGCAATACGTGAAAATATCGGCTATCCAGAGTACCTGAAAAACAGTTCTGCAATGAGCGAGATGTTTAAGGGAGTAAGTTTCCGTCTTTTGACGATTTCTGTTTTTTGGGCCGTTAATACGAGAATTTTTTTATTTTATTGCGTGACGTATTGCCACATATTTTTTTAATTACAAGCAATTTACAAAGGCGCATTTTTAGAAAGGCTGCTACATACATTACCACTTTGCATAAAATCGCAGCAAAAATCAACACCCTTGACGGGAAAAAAACCCGCCCTGGATCGCATTGCCAAGGTCGTGCAACGTGGAACGCAACAAAATTCATCTTCGCGATTACATGCATGACAACTGAGTTAGGCCCCGTTAATATTGAGAAATCGTACCCGGGTTAACCTGCGATCAGGCGATTTAAAAAAAAAATCGTCTGATCGCAGGTTAACCCCGGGTAAAAGGGTTAGTCTCCCAGCCGAACTTAAGCGAGCGTTTATATGAGAAAAGTTGCTGACCCCTTTACTAGAGCCAACATCATGCTTTGGTTGTCTCGCCTTTACCGAATTTACTCACCTGGGCGAGCCACAAAGTGTTTATATGAGAAAAGTTGGCCCGGCCGTCGAAGGGTTTCCCTACCATCACCCAGTTTAAACAGCCGACTTTAACAACAATTTGTTGTTTTTTGCAACAGTTCATGCACTACTTCCACTTCCTATCGAAACGACCGTATTTCTGGAAAAAAAAGTAATAATAAACGTTGTACTATTCATGAGACGAACCAAACTTAGTGAGCTGAGTTCATGAAAAGTTCCACGTCTAGCTCAGTTAAGTTCGTTTGAATGAGTTTGTATCGTCCAACACGTTCTAACAGTCTGCTCCAGACCGTGGATAGAACGTCTGAAGATCTTCTCCGGGACAATCTTCACGTACGACGAACTAAACTGATAATTTTTTTACTTGTATGGTAATCTATATTTAGCCTCGTTCGGGAGAAAATTTATCACTAATCTGATTCAGTTGATTAGTTCGACGCGTCTAAAGTTCGACGTCTGACCTAACAGACGATCTTAAGTTAATTTAGGTCGACGCAAATTAGAGTTTGGTTCTTCGTCTCACGAAAAGTTCGACGTTTGGCGTAGGTTTTAGAATCCTTTATATATTACTATGTTTAATGCTTTCCTCTTTGTTTCGTTTACTTAACAGTTTACAGTCGATAAAGGCAAGTATTTCAGCAACGTCCTGCAATCACATACATATTTTAACTTGAAGAACTACGCCAAGCTTGGAAAGCCTGTGAACAAAGACAGGTGAGAGTCTCCTGGTCCCAGTCAAATCTCTCTCTCGCCTTCTCCGTCCCTACACCGGTTGAATGCCCGAGAATATCAGGAGTTTAACTGGACGTTGTCCGGGACCTCTCGATCCTACAAAGAAAACTTGACTGACACGTGGACTTCGCGCCCTTTTAAACTTTTTTGAGATTATAAAATTAGTTTAGTCTTTTAAACGTCTGGAAGTTACTGGGTGGACGCAGAGAGAGAGAGGACCGAGTCCAAGCTCATGTAGGTAGAGCAATAAAAATTATCGCCTTGCCGCACATTTACGTTTTCAAGGAAACTTAAACTTTGGTCATTTTATGTCGTTGTTACGCAGGAGATGACAATGAAATTTACAAAAAAGCTTGAAGCACGTGTAGAGTTGGTGTTTTACTTCCTTTTTTAACTCGTTTACTCGTTTATTTGTTTTTCGATTTTTTTTATTTGTTGCTAGATGGGGCATGACTCCTCCGACAGTGAATGCTTATTACTCATCAATAGAAAACAAAATCGGTAAGTACAGCGTAAGGGTAACTGTAGTGCAGTGCTTGTACTTGTCCGCAGGCTATAGAATGGGTAATTTTGCTTTTTTTAAAAAAGAGGAAACTACCGTTTTCTCTAAGACAGTCATAAATGGACTCTTCTTCTCTTTCCAGCTTTTCCCGCTGGTATACTTCAGAGGCCTTTCTATGATCAACAGTTCCCCAAGTAAGTCATTAGACCTTTAACTGTTATTATTGGAAGTTCAGAGTAGCAAATAATAGTCGGTTACTTGACAATCTCTGATTAAAATTTGGCCCATATTCGACAAAATCCTTCATGTAAGATAAGTTAAGATAATCCAAGACACTCCTGGATTCTGTACTCCACGCTGTAGATTTCAGATTCCAGGTAATGGACTCCAGATTCATTGTCAGTGGAACTGGGATTTTTACTGGGATTCCGGATTCCCATCGTTAGCGGGAATCTGGATAAGTAGACCTGAATTCCAGTAGATTTCAGAAACAAAAATTTCCCGCATTGCGGCACAAGGATAACCGAGCACAAGCGCCAAATTTAACTTTAAATCTGGAAGCTAATAAATGAAATTCTGTTTGGGATTCACTTCCGTTTAAATTTTGATGTTTAAACGAGGAAGTCAAAATTAACGGAAAAAACGCTTTTCAACAAAAGAAACAGGAAAGCGAATTGAAATTTAACCCCGGGTTAGCAGTAATCGACCTTAAACAACCACAGGGCCTTGTTTGTTTAGTATTTGAGAAATCATAGCATGGTTTGTGGAATAAAACAGTTAGGTGGTTGACATAGGTTCTCCGTAGAAACAAACATAATTTGCAGACAAGTAGCCTGAGAACACAGCCGACATTTTGCGACGCGACCACTGGTTTCCCTGCGAAAAGACGTCCGAGATACGAGCCCAGACACTCCATACTGATGACGCGTTACTTGCCAGGTCTAGGTAGTGCTTCTGATTGGCTGAAAATTAGCATCAACCAATCAGAAGCACTACCCAGATCTGGGTAGTGACACGTCATCGGTATGGAACTTCTGCGCTCGTTTCTCAGATGTTATTTCCCAGATGGACCATTGGTGCCGTCGCAAACTGTCGGCTGTTTTCTCAGGCTAGCAGACTGAGGAAATGTTTCAAACATCGTTCAATGGGAAACGAAAAGGGTTTCTCTTAGTACGTTGTTGTACCTCAAAAGCTTCCATTGGAAGGTTCCATTTCGTCGTTCAAAGAAGCCGTACACGGACGATTATGAAAGGACAAAAAAATGTGAAGTTTTTTTTTTCTTTTAAGTTAAGTTTATATCGATGATTTTGCTTTCCAAAGAACCAAATTCAAAACAAAAGAAACTACCAAGTTTTATCACCTACAGTGGAACCTCAATATAACGAAGGGCCAAGGGACTGGCAAACTTTGTTCGCTATAACGAGGTTTCGTTACATCGAGGTTCTTTTTCATGTATTTTGCTATTACTGGGGTAAAGACAATCGTTCGTTATACTGAGGACTTTATATGGAGGTTCGTTATATCGAGGTTTCACTGTAAAAAAAGATCGAGGAACGAATGGTACCATTAAACAGTACTGCCAAAGAGGTCTAACCGGAATGCTACACCAGAGCAGCTGGTACATAGGGTCAAAACGTTTTATGCCGGACACCATGCCCTCATTCGGTCCGCGGAGAATAAACTGCTTTCTGCCACCTAATGGTGAAAGGAATTTCACTCCGAGCATATATGTACGTTTCACCGCAGGGACACTTTACCACCTGTGAAGTCATTCTTTAACACAGCAACCAACTGAAAAAATATTGAAAGAAGGTGTGATCACCCTCAGCCATGGAAGTCTGAAGATAATACATTAGACGATGTAAAGGGCTAAGATTTTATTTTCTTGCTGATTTGTCATGGGGTTGTTCGGCTTATTTTTAGGGCTCTAAACTATGGAGGAATTGGTATGGTGGTAGGACATGAAATTACCCATGGCTTTGATGATAATGGTACGTATAGATAATCTTGCTATGGATAGCTTCACAACCTAGTACGAACGTTAGTAAGACTCTTGAAGTTAAATAATAAACGAAAGGGCTGCTGTATCCCAGTAAACAGGAGGCTCCTGGAGGAAATGTATGAAAAGCTGGCTCGCCCAGGATCAGACTCGTACCCGGTCGGTATTTATGTGTTTTTGGAGTGAGAGAAGATTAGGGTAAGGTGGAGGCGCGCGGAGACTCAAGAGAAGGGACGTCCCCTCCCATTAGTCCCCGCGGACCTCAACCTAACCCCAATCTTCTCTCACCCCAATAGCGACTGGCATGGGTACGAGTCTGGTCATGGTAACTCGGGTATGTGGGTGATACTTCCATCACCTTTTCTCTATACAAGCGGGCGCCAACCTCTTACTATTTTGTGTTTTTGTCGCCGTCGTCGTTGCTTAAAGGGAACCTCCACTTCAACAAAAAGATAACTTTAAATCACAGGAAATAACTGTTACAGTCAAGTCAATCTAAAATATTTTTAAAGAAAGCGTTTGTATCCGAAAGAAATAACTTTTAGATTCGCCTATTTTTGTTTTCAAATTTTGCGGGCGTCGCCATCTTGAATAATTGTGACGTGTAATGGTTGCCCTATTGTTATTAAACAAAAGCTCTTTGTGTCAGAACAATAGAGCAACCGTAACACGTCACAATTATTCAGAATGGCGGCGCCCGCGAAATTTAAAAGTGAAAATAAGCGATTTTAAAATTCACTTTTCCTGATATAAACACTGTTTTTAAGACAAATTTCGAACAAATTTGTTTATCAACATAATTTTATTCGATTTAAACTTATTCTGTAATGAGAGTGGAGGTTTTTTTAAGCTCGCCCTAATTTCATAGCTGGTGCTCGTTGAAAATTAAGTTCATTCTCAACTGTCAGTTCGAGCAACAGAAAAGTAACTTACCATGATTGATTGAATCCAATAGGTCGTCTGTTTAACAAAGATGGCAACTTGGTAAAATGGTGGTCTAACAAGTCTATTGAAGCTTTCAAGAAGAAAACAAAATGTTTAAAAGATCAATATTCTAGTTACGAATTTGAAGGAAAGAAGGTCAGTGCCAGCGACGAGCGAAAACCTAAACAACAAAGTGTCCCTTTGTTTTGTTTGTTTTGTTTTTCTTGTTTACTAGTTTGTCTTTTCGGAAATGATTATTTTCCAAAGGGGGACATAGCGAAAACGCGCTAGTATACTTTTGAATGTTGTTGTTTTTCTAATTTGTAATGCATGGCCCCTGGTCGTTCCCCTAGTACACCTCATGTTTGCCAGACACCTTGAACGATTATATTTAGGAACCGTCGAATCAAAACTTATCAAAGGAAAGACCAGTCTTTCATTGAAAATATTTTGGTTTCAACAGTAGGAAAGGGGTTATATTTAGCCGTCAGACGTCTGGTTGACCGTCGTCTTATTTCTGTATGTATGTAATTGTTTATTATTATTATTATTATTATGTCGCAGTATGAAACTTTGGAATGCTGTCCACATTATGAGTAGTATAGGGCGCATAGCGTAACCTACACCACTTAAGAAGCTATACTTAGAAGTAAAAAAAGGTCGATACGAAACCTAATACGATCCTAAAATACATAGTGATATGAATCTCTCTACTTAAAAAGCCAATTTAGAATATTAAATATTAAATTCTGATACTCTGTAAAACCTTCTCTACTAAAAGCTTATTTATAATAATATCAAACTCTAATGTTCTAAAAAATCTAAGTAAAAACGACAGCTAGCCTGCGAAAACATCCGTTTCTCCTCGCTCTTCGTCGCTGAGGACGTTTCGCGCGGAGGAACGTCTGCGACTCAGTGACAGAAATTCCATACTGATGACGCAAATCAATGGTTACATAATAAATCTGGTAGTTATGGGGTTCCAAATGTAAATTTGTCTAATTTGCGTCTCTTCTGGTCGATTTTGGTAAAGTGTTGTGTTGATCTGTCCACGAGCTCCAGCAAAACTCAAATGCTTCTTCTAGAGAAGACTATATTGCACAAATATTGACTGTTTTGTTAGAGATTCTTCGTGTTTACATTTGACCTTTTTGGCCTTTTGTCTTTTGTCTGTCCTTTGTAAACAATAGCTAAAACAATGTAACTGCTCCGTCGACCAATCAGCGCTTCTGACCGGATTCTGGACAGATTTTACGTCATCAGTATGGAATTTCTGTCGCTGAGTCGCAGACGTTCCTCCGCGCGAAACGTCCTCAGCGACGAAGAGCGAGGAGAAACGGATGTTTTCGCAGGCTAAACGACAGCAAGCTTGTGTTTCTAGATTTCTAGAGAAAAAACAAAAACCTAAAAACTGAAGTCCTTAGCGCCCTAACTAAGTATTTATCTTAAATGTTCTGGCAATGTTTAAAGTGTTTGAGATGACCAACTTCTGCATCCGCTCAAGGACGCTCCGTGCTCTCGCTCCAAGTAGCTTCCTCACCGACTTCTCTAGGTGTTTAGAGTAACCACCCAGTACGTCAATTATTACGTTGTACTGTTCAACCCGGTACGTAACCATTGTATTATTATTATTATTATTATTATTATTATTATCGTTATCATGATAATCATTATCGTTATCATTGTTATCGTTATTATCATTATCATCATTATTATTTTTTTATTTATGTATTTTTTTTGTGTGTGCAGATTAACGGTGAACAGACTCTAGGGGAAAATATTGCCGACAATGGCGGCATTAAGCAGTCATTCCAGGTACCTCACTTACCTTTAATAGTTTAATAATCTAGGCAATTAATTAATTCTTAAAATAGCTCAAGATCTTTTTATACACATCCTTAAAGCGAATTTGATGCATGTCGGTCACTCGATGGCTCCGAAACGCGCTCGCTAAGCAAGGAAGCCGCCATATATTTTCCGCCTTTTTCAAGCCTGCTTTTCCAGTACTCTGCGGGTTTCTTTCTTTTCTTTCTTCTTCTTTTTTTTTCATCAAGATGGGAAGTTTTAAGAGTTGTCCATTCTTCTACAAACGCTGCACTGAATTCAATTCTGCCGACTTGCGGCTGTCTGTCTTTCTAAGTTATTAGAGAGAGAATACTCTTTTCTTCTATAAAAATCTGTTTTAAGAAGAATATTTTAAGAACATACTCAAGGCTGAGAAGTTAAAAAGGACTCAGTTTTGTTTGTTGAAAACCGTAAATACAATACCATTATATGATTTTAACCTGTTTTCCCAGCCTTGAGTTTTCTGTCAAAATATTGAAACCCAATACATTCTAAAGTGGAAATGCCATAAGCTATCATTTATAAGTAAGAATAATCAGCCTAAAATCGACAGAAAAATAAGAACATTCAGGCTTGGTTGGGAAGATAACATTCTTATATAAAAAAAGGAGTGTAATGGGACGAATCCCACTTTACGGACACCCGCTTAATACCAACTCCATATTTGGTGGCTCCTTCAGTGTGTATGTCCGTATTAATGGAGTTCGACCTGATCCGTCTCCTGCATGAAAAAAGTAAGTTTCAACTCGAACCCGTTCGCAGATTTGAGATGGACATCATCACTAGCTGCCTTAGACCTAAAATAAAAACTGGATGTTTTTACCTTCAGGCCTATCAGAACTGGAAGAAGAGAAATGGCGTCGAACCTTCTCTTCCAGGAATGAAAGATTTTAGCAACGAGAAGATCTTCTTTCTTGGTTTTGCTCAGGTTTGGCAACAATATTTTTATTACTAAGTCAACCATCGCAGTTCAACAAAATTCTGAAAAAATTCTTGGTTGCATCTCCCCACTCGAGTTTTGGCACTACCAAGGTCATTTAAGAAGGTCCATACAGCAATTCGATAATTATATAGCTGGTGTTGTGTTCTGGAAGTTTGGTTAACGCCTACGGTTCACACTGTAAAATGAAGCAAGAATGACGTTCAATACAATGATGTTTATTTCTATATATACATTTTTATATACAGTAGAACCCCTGTGTGCAACCACTGCCTGGTTGGCTCAGTTGGGAGAGCATCGGTCTGCTGATCGGGAGGTCACGGGTTCAAAGCCAGGCCGGACCAACACTCAGGGTCTTAATTTAAAGAACTGAGAGAAAAGTGCTGCCTTTGTAATGACTTCTGTAATGAAATCTTTTGGGATAAGGACGAAAAACCGTTGGTCCCGTCTCACAGCTTTTTCACTTATTTAGTTCCTGTGGAACGTAAGGGAACCGACGCTTCTGTTCGAAAAGAGTAGCGGACGTAGACCCCATTAATGTGGCCAACCTTTCCTGGGCCGGGTGGGTTATCTTTAAGGAGAGATCCTAATATAGGCTAGGGATAACCTCATGATCCTACTTCAGGTGTCGTAATGGCTACTTGTAAACGTGTATGTATGTACCACCTCTCGTAAGCCACCACCTCTACAAAACACCCAAAATTTCCCAGTCAAATCACTACAGTTAGAACCTCTTACACGAACACCTCTCGTCTCATTGTAAACGACTACTTAGGGAATGGTTTGATTTGATCTGTCTGTTTGTTGTTTGTACTACACTTCCAAGAGAACGCGATGCACTTAGCTGACAACATGAAACTGCTCAGATCGTATCGTAACTTAGAAATTGCATGGTATGCAAAATGGGGATGATGTGTTTCAGACTGACCTGTTGTAGGAAAGGACATCCTGCATGGGGATCAATTCTCCTATATAAGCGAACACCTCCCGTAAGCCTCTTCTAAATCTTCGCATTTTGGGTGGTCGTTAATGGGAGGTTTGACTGTATTTAATTATTTTTTACTTGTTTACTCATTTATTTTCTTCCAGATTTGGTGTAGCAAGTATCGAAAAGCAGCAGCTATTAGGCAGATTGACTATGGGGTGCACAGTCCTGGAAAATATCGGTAAAGGCCTATCCTGTTAGATTAGGAAATCCGATCTCTGGCCCAATATTAAAATTTCATAGAAAATCTTGAGCCAAAAAAAAACATCTTCACACAAAAAAATAAGTAAATAAAAATAAATAACTGACAATAACAAATGTAGGATTTTCAGATCCCAAAAAAGAAAATATTACGGTAAAAAAGCATTTATAGGTGCTAAGTTATTTTGTTGATATTAGCCAATTAGTCGGCCTTATTCGCTATGAAACTTTTCAAAGTACTCTTGAATGACAAAATCACAGTTTCGTGTCAAACAAAATTTCTTTCCAAAATTAACCTTAAAAAAGGTTAGGCTATATATATAGCAAGGTTTCAAAAGGCACAATTGCAAATACTTTCCAAACTCAAATTTGTCCACCCTTGCTTCCTTTTGTAAATGCTCTGTTATTTTATACCCTCTTCCTATGTTTTGAACAGTTATTTTTATTTTCGTTTAGTTTGGTGGTGTTTCCTACAGTTCGAATACTGATAAGTTTAGCACACAGCTTCTCCTCCTTTAAAAAGGTTTTATTTGAATGGTCACCTCCCCTAATTGTTTTTCACTTAATTTCTTTTTGCTTGAAACCATAGTTATTTAAGTGGTAACCCGTTAGGGCCTGTTTACATGGATGTGGGGGACCCCAGGTAGGTGAGGTAACCGCTTTGGTGGGTAACCCGCCTGTCCACATAATCTCTCATTTTAATTTGATCACGTTTACATGATAGGTGCGGTGACCTGCCCGCATGTTACCTCACCTATCTGGGGTCCCCCACCTCCATGTAAACAGGCCCTTAGACTCCTTTGTTATATGTTTTTGCTAGCTTTTTTGGACCTGACAATGCACAACGTACAATAGACCTTATTCACGATACCCTCCATCTTTGCACGCGCTTAAGGACTGACGGGATAAAAGGAATGTCACGTGGTTTCTCTGGGGGCAAGCAAGTGGTAAATTCTGCCAATGCACAAAATCGCGGTCGAGTTTATAAATTCTAGACATCAGACAATTGCAAATAAGAACGTTTTATGTGAAAGATGATAATAGCAAATTATGGTTTGAAATTATCATTTGCTACGTTTTAGATACAGTAGTTATAACTTGTGGAATCTCGAACTGTACATTTTGTACGACTACTAAATCATTCTCTCGTTTTGAGATAAGTATTGGCAATTTTGGTCACTTGTTTGGCCCCTGAAGTACCACATGACATTGTTTTTATCCCATCAATCCGAAAGGGCCTGCACAGATAGCGGGTATCGTGAACAAGGTCGATAGCATTCCTATCATTTTGAACTTACTACCCAACGGAAAAATCGCATTAATTCATAATTCAGTCTCAATTTATGAACAAAAAAGCAAAGAATTGTGCACGGTCAGGGAGCTTCCAACATAAACTACAACACCGTTGTTTTCAACTCTGATGTTTGCCGACTTTCATAACCAGTCTCCTCTACTAACCATGTTGAAACTAGACACTCAAGGAAAAAAAAGGCATCCTTGTAGATCGTTTAAAGACCTGACTGATTTCCAACTTGGTTGGTCTGACTGTGGCATTGTTTATCTTATCTTTCAGGGTGATTGGTTCTCTGTCGAACTTTGATGAATTCGCCAAAGCTTTTAACTGTAAAAAAGGATCTCGTATGAATCCTGAAAAGAAATGTTCCGTTTGGTAATGAACCTTTGAGAGCGTCTGATTTAGCTTTGACAAAGGATCTGTGTCAAAAGGAATTTTTTCAAACATAACTTATATTATAGATCAGTTCTTGCAGGATAGTTTTATTCTTTGATTTTAACGTAACGACGTCAACAAAACTGAAAACTCTAATTTCGAAAGTAAATTTGATTATCTCTGTGACACAATGACATGGGAGGGTATTCTCCTTATGTTGGTATGCGCAAGTCAACGATTATAACATAACATCACGGGTTATTTTTAGATCTCTCTATATACCCTTTTTAGCAGAGGGTAATTACCTGGAATACTCCGTAAAATGAAGCAAAACTTGTGGGACTTGTTTATATGATTTGCCGCCGTCTCGCTTTACTTGCAATTGGCTATTTTTTTTGTTAACAACTGTTTTTTTTTGTCAATAAGGAGTTTCACTCTCAGAATATACTCGGCTTCCCAGCGTCAGCCGATCAGTATACATCGACTTGTTGTATCTAACTACACATGTGTAGTTGCTCGTAGTCACGTAAAGCTACGTACAAACTCTCAACATTGTTGGGCCAACAATGTTGGGAGTTGATGCGTCCGTGTTTGCAGTGGTTTGCAAACGCATGCAAAAATTCCCAACATTGTTGGGCAACAATGTTGGGAGTTGTTGCGTCCGTGTTTGCAGTGGTGTGCAAACGGATGCAACAACTCCCAACAATGTTGGGACCTGCAGTGCATGGTGGGAAGGATACAACCCATAAGACTTTGAAGACCAGGGCATGTGAAATGTGCCTGCATGGTCCCAGCAATGTTGGAAAGAGCTGGGCAAACGAATCCAACATTGTTGCGCTACGCTTCGGCGAAACGAAACGTAAGAAATGTTGGGAGTTGTTGGCTAAAAAATTTGACCGGTTTCAAACTTTGCGTAACAACTCCCAACGATACGCAACAACATGCAACGGGGTGCCCAAACGGACGCAGCATCATGGACATCTAACAATCTTTGGAGTTGTCGGCCAACAACGTTGCGTCCGTTTGTATGTTGCTTTATCTAAACAAATTGAAAGAAAGCGGCACCTTGATTGCGAATGAATTCTTTTCCTCCTGGGAAATTAAGTTCACATGATTGACCACTCAATAGGTACAAAATGAAAAAAATCAACTATATTATGAGCCATGCACTCACGATCCGAACAAAACTGACTATACACTATTACACTATTATACAATATATTTACATGTTTTTCTACATTTCATCTGAGGATAACTATATAAGAAAGTTAGTCATTGTAATTGTTTTATCACATGCACATGATCAGCAAAACAAACTTACGAAAATGAAGTAAAAGGCTAAAAAAAATTATTTGTTACTCGTGAGTGCACTCTCCAGTCACTAAGCGCTTCGATTACATGCAGCGCACAGTAACCTGTCGCCGCGCCTGCTGTCTTTATACAAATTGCCATAGTCCCATTGGCCCTGTAAATATATATCATTAGTTTGCTTTCGTTTATTATCATAATAACTAACGAATATCATAATGCGCTATTTTTTAACTTTAGCATGATCAAATAGACAACTAAATAAATAGCACTTTTACTTTTCCTTGCGTTTCTCTTGCATTTGTCTGAAAGGTCCTTGTTTACGACGGAAAGTTGTAATAAAGAAATCCCGATTCCGGATTCCGGAAATTTTGCTTGTACTAGTGATCCGGAATCTAGAGGGCCAGGGCCCGGTTCCTGAAAGGCCGATTAGCATTAATCCAGGATTAAAATTTTGTTCCGTTTTTGTATTTTACATTCCTATGCATTGCTTAGGGTAACATTTTGTGTTATCATTACTGTATCTCGTAGTAAAGGCTCAACACTACTTTGTAACCTCGAGTTACATGTTCTTAGACGAGAAAACCGAGCTTGAAATTTGGCTTAATCCTTGGTTAAACTTAACCATCTTTCGAGGAACCGGGCCCAGGCGTGGAATCCAGAATGGATGTGGAACCCTCACTTTCAAAATGAGGCCAAGTGCACAACCGTTCTTGTGAAAATATCAAATGCTAAGTACTTAACCTCGTTTTGATACAGAGGCCCGGGGAACTCAGAAATGGCCTATTGTCGTGACGTGTACGTCAACATTGACGTTACCATGACAACCGGTTTTGACAGCTACTTATTTTTAGAATTTGTAGTTTCTCTATCAGGGAGGTTTTATTTCTATTTTTACTTCTTGAATAATTAGGTTACACTTATTTCAGCATTATTTTGTCAAATGAATTATGTAACTGTTAACAATTAAACTTGGCTTTTCAGTGACTAATGACGCATACGTATGCGTCAGTGGCTTTGTTGTTGGTTCTCTCCCTTGCTTCGAGGGGTTTTTATCCAGGTACTACGGTTTTCCCCTCTCCAGAAAAAAAAAAAAAAAACGACACTTCCAAATTGCAATTCGATTTGGATTGTTCTTAAGAACTCCTAAGTGTCTGAACAACCAGCACCCATATGTAGAAGCAGAAGCAGAGGGTAGGGGGAATGTTTGCGGGGCTGTCTTCTTATAGGAAACGTTCTTACAAAGTTCCACACAAGAAATGGTCTTGTTTAAATCCAGGAAAAAGGAATGTGTCACACAAAGGCCACCATGCTGTTTTGTAAATCATGCAGAGCCGTAGTCTGCTATACAGCCTTTTGGAAGGAGCGTTGCGTGACGACACTAAAATTGTCCCATCACGCAAGGCCCCTCCCTATTCAAGAAACAGCGCAGCCCTGGGTTCTAGTTTCAAAAGAAACCTTTGTTTGGGAAGCGATGCGACACGCGCGACAGTCCTCGATTTTGTTTCTGAAGAAAGGAATTTTCTGAGCAAGAAGTCGTGAATTCATCAAATACTTTGGTCAAAAGAAAATCTGCGGTGAGATCATCTTGTTTTGTGGTAATATGGTGCGATCGTGCATGTTTTTGTAACTGACAGGACACAACGTGAGAAGGAAATCTTAAGCTTACCTTCAGGGTAATAATATCGAATCCGATCTGCTTGATTTCACAAAGAAACAGAACATTTTTGAACCCATCAAGGTGGAATAATGCAGCAGTTCAGATCGACTTCTAATCAAGAAATGCGAGTGGAATTCATATCGCATTTCTCTTCTACTCACACCGAAGAGGCGTTTTGTTGCATGAAGACAATGAGATCGAAAGGCGAGTTATGCGATGTAAATCTGCTCATCGGCGAACCGCAAAGACGGATTTCTGCTCATAGAATTGTGCTCGCGGCTTGCAGCCCCTATTTTCATGCTATGTTTACGACGGAGTTGATAGAAAGTAGGCAACGTGATATAACCATTCAAGGTGTTGACCCTGATGCCATAGAGCTTCTTGTGGACTTTGCATATACGGCGAGGATTCAAGTTAGCGAAGAGAACGTCCAGTCCTTGCTTCCCGCGTCAAGTTTACTACAACTGACAAGCGTGAAAGACGCGTGCTGTGAATTTCTTAAAAATCAACTTCATCCATCCAACTGTCTGGGAATCCGGGCGTTTGCTGATGCACACACATGCGGTGATTTGTTGGAGTCTTCGCATCGGTTTGCCCTGCAACACTTCTTAGAAGTCTCGCAGACCGAAGAATTTATGCTGCTTTCCGTTGAGCAAGTTTTAGAACTCATTTCAAACAGTGATGTCAATGTAGAGAGTGAAGAACAGGTCTACAACGCTGTTATTAACTGGATTAAGTTTGACTTGGACAACAGAAAGGTATTTGTTCGAGATCTTTTGCCATATGTGAGGCTACCATTGTTAACTAGAGAGTGTCTGATGACCCGTGTGGAAACTGAAGACCTTATAAGAAACAATCCAGACTGCAAAGACTTGCTTATTGAAGCAATGAAGTACCACTTGCTTCCGGAACAGCGATCGGTTCTTCAGAGTCCCAGGACTATCTGCCGCAAGCCCGCAGGACAGGTCCCGATATTATTTGCCATTGGTGGGGGCAGTCTGTTTGCTATCCACAGTGAGTGCGAGTGTTATGATCCAAGGATTGACAGATGGTGTATGGTGACACCCATGTCTACCAAGCGTGCCCGTGTAGGGGTAGGGACAGTTGATGGAAAAATTTACGCTGTAGGTGGTTATGATGGCAGTAACGACCTAGCAACCGTTGAAGCGTATTGTGCACAAAGTAATCTCTGGTTGGTGGTACCATCAATGGGAACTCGTCGTAGTTGTCTGGGGGTGGCTGTTTTGAATAGCCTGGTTTATGCCATCGGTGGCTATGATGGAGCATCATGCCTGAACAGTGTGGAAAGATTTGATCCTTTAACTGCGCAGTGGACTTCAGTCGCAGCCATGAATACAAGGAGGTATGCTTTTATTGATCTATCTTCATTGTGATGATGGCTGCAAGTTCGTTCCATTTTTAATATTGAACTGTGAAAAAAAACAGCAAAGCTGGTTTTGCCAAGTTATCATTATGTATTTAGGGAAGAAACTTCTCCAGAGGGGAAGATTTAAAGGAAGTTTGGTTGGTGCTCTGCTGCTGAAGCCCTTTGATTTTGACCCTGTTTTATAAAGGCAAAATACATTATAATTGCAACCCTGTTTTAAGTACTGAAATTGAATACTTTTTTTAAAAATTGACGATCCCATAAACCTATACCATGAAGAGTTAATTTTTTTCATAGAAAACAACGGGATGACTATTGTCATGATCTCAAAAACTTGTGTGAATTATCAGGAATTACAGGAAAATACATGGATTTTTCAAAAATAAAGTTATTTCGTCAAAGGGATAACATAGACGTAAGCAAAAAAAAGAAAAAAAATGGTGAGGTAAAAATGTTAATAGTAATTAATTTTCTTTTATGAGCTTTAAATTCCAAACATCTTAATACAGATATTAGTAACAACATAATTAATTACATTAAAGTTTTGTTGCTCACAGCCACTTTGATAAGGAGTTAAACTGGCAAACTTAAAGTGCCCATCACCTAAAATTTTTTGTCTTATCTGAAATTATACCTTATTAAAATAACTTCTGCGACAAAATTTTGCGATTTGAACAAAAGCTGATTTTTTTACAATTTTTTGAAGTCTACATTTTTGCGGTACACTCGCACCGCTGATCATGCAAACTAGCAAGCTCACATATGACGTCATGTGACGTAAATTAAGGAACTCGCATTACCTTGCCTTCACCAGCTGTACATAAAAAAGTTAAATTCAAGTAAGGATTGAATCACAATGTCTTCGTAAGAAGAAAGTTTTTCTGAAAAAGAAAAACCTATCAGACCTCTTAATGTTTTCCTGTCGATAAGGTCACGTGTTCCTTAAAGTACATCATACTCCGAGAGAAGACTAAGACGAATGGTGTGTAAAATGGCGGCAAATTTAAACGTTTTCAAAAAATTGTAAAAAAGTTGGGTTTTGTTCAAATCGCAAAATTTTTTCGCAGAAGTTATTTTAAAAAGGTATAGTTTCAGATAAGAAAATAAAAAATTTAGGTGATGGGCACTTTAAAACATGCTACTAAAGAATTAACAGAGACCAAAATCTCCATTTTGAGAGTCACCTTAATAGGATCTTCAGGAGCTTTGATGCCTCGATCCAAACAGAACAAAAGAGTCAACAGAGTCTTATTTAGTCGTCACTCTTATTCTTACATGTATCCTTGTTGCTGGCACTAAGGATCATTGCTCATGTTAGTCTTAGTTTTAGTTGAAGGGGGGAGTGGAAGGTCCTGTGTTTAATTTTTTGGACTGGACCAATACTTCGCATCTTAAAAGGACCAAGGAAGAAGTTACATGTAATGCTTTGCCCATCAAATGGTTAAAGACCTTGATGTAGCTTGGGTAATCACATTATAATTATAGAAACGGCAGTCCCGTCTGTAAAAACAATGTCCTCAATATTAACTACTTCTGTGCCAAAGACATTGATGCTTAAATGAAGTACCTTTTGTACTTTGTTGTTGTTGTTTTTATTGCGGAAAATTGCACATTAAAATAATTTGTTATAATTTATTGTGAGGTCACAATGCAATGGCCTTAGAGGGCTGTCTCAAATTTTAGGAAGCAGCTATAACAAATTTTTAGAACAGAGTTTGCACTGATTTTATCCTACATATATTATATTTATAATAATTATTAAGTTTTGTTCTTTTCTCTCCAGACGATATGTACGTGCGGGTGTGGTAAATGGCATTATTTATGCAGTTGGAGGTTATGATGGTAGTGCACATCTAAATACAATGGAGTGCTTTGACCCAATGACAAACACATGGAGAACTGTGGCCAGTATGGCAAGTCGTAGAAGCAGTGCTGGAGTAGCTGTCCTCAATGATATGCTCTATGTTGTAGGTGAGTGGTACAATAGGTATTTATGTCGTTCATCTGAATTTTAAAACAACTTGTGTCGGTGTTTATAAATGCTTGTCGCTTATTGTTGGCTTTGCCGTCACTGTCGCAATTTGGCCGAGGGGGCTTGTCTCTTGTCATGATTTCATTTTACATGCTGTCACTACTCTTTGGGCCATGTCGCTTGTCGGAATTTACCCTGGCAGGGCCTCATTAGTGAGTTTACACAATGACGTTTTTTAGGTGACACACATTTACTGGAAGTGAACTATTTTCATTCTTGAGGAGTGGTTTTACCTAAATGTTTGATCATATTGAGACTAAAGTCACGTAGCAATACAAATTTGGAAATGCTATGGAAAATAAATAGACAATAACAGGGGCTTGACACTTTGTACATTGCTCAATAAAGTACCTTTGCCTAAGCTCCCTATTATCACTGCCAACTTTGTTAATTGCTTCTTAAAGTATGCAGTGAAAAAGAAGGGGCTAAAAAATAATAGGTGCCTGGAAATATGGAGTTGTGAGTGTTTTGTGATGAAATGCTAGATTCTCCTGACAATAACCTTGCATTTACTTGTAATTAAAGGGAGAATTTGGCATTACATCAGGAGTCCTCCAAGGCCTTAATCCATGCACCCCTCTTAGACTACAGAAATGATACTTCTATTTTTATGGGCAGTGATTTCGTCCTGGAGATACTACATACTTGTAAGCTATAGTAACATTAGACACCTACATAATGCAGACTCTTGGTTCTGTCCAGGGTTCTCTGGAAGCTCCGGCAACCTGCAAAAATGGCCATCTAGTCAACATGGAAGTGTCAGAAGCTTGTTTTTCTTGTTTTTTTTTCAGTGGGATATTGATAAATCCATTCTACTTCTGTTTATTTTGTTTCCCAATTTATTTGTTCAATAAAAACAAACATATTCATGACACTAAGTACGTACATATGGCAAAGATTGGTATTAATAGGTGCCACCCTCTTTGATAATTTTTTCCTCTGGTCACTCAAAGTGCATGCACTGAAATGCACTTTCAGGCACCCAAAAATTCAGATACTGTATTACATGTATCTCTGGGAGACTTCCGGAGTTCCCTAGCGAAAGTGTAGCCTTCATCCTGTACCTAGCCATCCCCCACACTGCTGTGTGCTCTGAAAGACATACCTTTGGATCTATTTATCAGCTGCTGCCTTCTTAATATATTCTTTTCTCCCTTTACACTTAAAATTAATTTCCGATAGAACCCCTGCTACACTGTAAGTTTGGTTGCATTTTCCCACCAAGAAGAGATAGTACATAGATTAAGCAAATAAAGGCAGTGCAAGGTCAACTGAGAACCCAAAAGCACATACTGAATGTGTCATGTCCAGGACTCAGTTTGTTGCTCTGCTGTTGGTCAAGCCAGTTTTTAGCTGTCATTACCTTTGTTGTGTCCTCTTTGAAAAATCTCCCTTATTCAATTTACTACAAGTACAGTCTCAGATAATCAAATTAGAATTTAACTCATTCGGTTCACACCCTCACATAGCAAAATAGTACATACTCTTCATCCTGGTTTTAGCAGCATGATCTTTATGAATGGAACATGGCCCTGATATAATGTGAACCCCCCTCACCATATTTTTTTCTCTCCTCAGGTGGAAATGATGGGGCATCATGTCTAAACACAATGGAACGTTACGATCCTGTGGCTGACTCATGGACTTGCCTTGCTCCGATGAACACTCGCCGCAGCACTCACGATGTGGCAGTTATTGATGGAACTCTATATGCTGTTGGAGGCAATGATGGCAGTTCCAGTTTGAACAGTATTGAAAAGTATGATCCAGAGACAAATAAATGGACTTCTGTTGTGTCTATGAGCACTAGGAGAAGTAGTGTTGGAGTTGTGGTTGCACAAGTTTTGCTACTGTGAGGAAAGAGAAACATGGCTGATTCCACAGTAGAGCATTGTTTTTCAGTCTGTGTACAATATCATAGTTCTGCTGCTTAACTGTCAAGCGGGATTAGAGAAGTACAATGTACCTACACTTATGGATTTTCAACAATGAACTTAGATCATGTGTATGAAGTGAAAATAATACTGAAGTTGATAAAATTTGTTCAAAATTAAGTCAAGTATAGTATGTACATGACTGTATAGCACTTAACTTAGGCATCAGTGTATGTAGCAGGAAATTGTAACATTGAGTACACTAGTGTTGTCTGCTACTGGGGATGGTACCAGCCTTTCAGCGCCATTTGCAGGGCAAAGGCAGTACTTTCATTTCTCAATATTTTGAGACCCTGAGTGTTGGTCAGGCCTTGGGGATCGAACTTGTTAACTACCATTATGCAGTGAAGTACTCTACAGACTTAGCGAGTCCTGGTTCAGTATGACATACAGTGACCCTCAAGTTCTTACAAAATGGGCTGAAAAGACACATGGCTTTTAAGATCAGTAGAATTCTAGGAAATTCTACACATGGACCATGAGGAAAGGATTCCATAAATGAACTGCAGGGAAAAAGAAATACTGAAGTGCACAAGGAGTGATGTGATGTATTATCTTGATTCCTTATTATTGAAATTATAAGGGGTATTTTTAATGACCAGTAAAATGGATGACCCATAAAGCATGGAAAATGGTGGAAGAAAAACTTGAGGCAGTCTTTATAGCAGTAATTTCCTTTTCAGTTGGGAAAAACAGGTTTTCTTATATTGCTGTTAATAATGTTAATATTTTCAACAACAGGCAGTAACATTGTGAATAGACAGCTGTATTTACTGTGCACTATTAAAGCGATTTTAAAATGTTGTTGAGTTAAAAACAATTTTTTTTGTGCAACTGAACATTAATGTTTTGTTGATTGTTCGTCTGTGTCAGATTCACAGCAATGGCAGCCACATTTGAATTAACACATGATTAAAAAACCTACTTGACCTTGTCATGTTGTCGTATAATAGAAATAGTGGCACATGATTCTGGCTTTAAAAGGCTGTGCCATGTACGTCAGTATGGAAGCTTAAACAGGACGGTTGTGTTTATGTGAAAGGCACAGGCTAGATGGTGGGTTGGTAGTCAAGTGTGTCACAACTTGTATTTAAGTTTCTTTTTTACCATTAAAAATATTGTTTACCCCTCTTAATGTTAAAATAACATGACTATATGGTCGAGTTCCTGAGCATTATTATACACAAACAAACAAACAAAGCGAGGTTTCAAAATGCAGCATTTATTTGGAAGATTTAAATTAAAACCCAGCACACAGTTGGCTGTAAGTTCCTTGCACATTGAATGTTGACAAAAAGAAAGCCACAGTTTCTTGTAATTTATAAAAGCTGTTTTCTTACTGAAGCATTCCTTCACTCCAGTGTAGTTTCTAATATTTTAGTAATAATCTGACATGCATGCACTTCCAAACACTATCATAAGTTTGTCCATTACCATGAAACAAGATGTTACGTAATCTTGTGTTTCTTGAATGTACGTGATGACTTTCATTGTGCTGTAGATGTTAGCTAACTTTTTACATAAGTCACTTCTTCTTTGATTTTGTTTCCAATCCTAAAGTTCTAAAATTCAGAGGAAAACAACAGAGTTAAGTGTTAATAGTGATTCTCTATTTCACAATGCTATAAAATAATGTTTATTACAAACAGCAGCAGCTATGTAGGGGTAAGATCTATGCACAGGCACCCCAAGGCTACTAATACTTAAACCGCATAAATTTATGATATTGGAGGCACACATCTACCCATACCAATGCATGCATTCCCCCAACCCTCCATCCCCAAGTCTGATGCATCCCTCGCTGTAAGATTATTACTCACATAATTAATTACCAGGAGATACACTCCCACAGAACATTACTTACTCTTCTAAATCATCAGCCTCCCGAACATTCAGCATTAGTGCTCCAGAATCCAAGAACACCATATTTTGTGAGTTTGAAATCTGGGAAGAAAATTCCATGAATCAGGCACTGGATTATTATCAAATACATGGTTCATACAACTTCATGCAGGCAAACAAATTTCAAGGATTTTTCAAGGACAATTTACAGCTTTCAAGGACTAAGATTTATGTCATAAATTGGCATTCTCTAACCCCCTTTTGATCACCCAGTTGGGTAAAACACGTCATGAAGTCATTTACGATTTTTACTCCTTCAGCCAACGTTGAACACACTATTTTATACTCCTTTCAGCAACAACACTTTGCAAAATGACTTGCAATATTGCATCTGAGGTAGAATAGCCTTTGGAATAAAGAAACAGAAATAAAATATTGTTCATGCACATATTCCCCATGTTAAGTTGAAGTTCCTATACTAAAAGTCACACATGTTCTATAAAACTTCTTTAAACTTGACTAAAGAACTCAGCAGTATTTTCAAAATAAATAAAATAGGTGGACTTACTGTATTGGAAACTGCCTGTGCAGCTCGTATCTTCCTGAGTTTGAGGTATCCTGGATTGCCCTTTATAGCATTACCGAGGTGACAAAATGTTAAGGGTTAAACAAGATAAAAAATGTTCAAGTAGTTTTCCACAACTTACACTGTACATGTACTTTCAGTTTAATGATATTCAAAGAAAGTGATCATTTTTTTTTCCAAAATTTTTCAACAGATACTCAGTGACAGTGACACATCTGCACCTTTCATAGAATCATCACGCCAAAACAGTCTTTCGCTATTGATAATTATGGTGGTGTGATTGAAAATGTCAATATCAATGAAACTATCACCCCAAACTAATGGGCATTGAAAACATTCCTTTCAACGGTGAAAAGGATATCAAAGTTGCTGCTTTTGCCTCTCCTTCAGCCTGCACAATTTTTTGTTGTCTTTCCTGAATTGCCTTTTCCACATGAAACTGAGCTCTCTGTGCTTCTTGTTGAGCTAAGAGAAAATTAATCAAAGAACTTTGCATTCAGTATTAAGTTGTACCTTTAATATAATATTTGCCTTATGAATAGTTCTCTCCACTGAGGAATGGAAATACTGAAGGAGAAAAAATTAGGAAGGTGGTGCATTTTTGGCAGGGGAGAGGGGTACAGGGGGATAAGACCTAATGGCACAGAGAGACACCATGAACCAAACAAAGGCTTAACATAAGTTAGTTGATAGTCAAGCATTAAAAAATACTATTAAAATAATGAGGGAAATAATACACTCCAGCTTTCAAAAACAAGTTAAAATAAACCAGGGCAGCCCATAAATGAAATATAATTTTCCAAGAGCAATAGTTTAATCAAGAGTTTCCCTATCATAATTATTACTTTCAAAAAAGTCCTTCGTTAGATTTAATATGGCACGGGACAACCTGTCGCTCGCTCGTCTGCTTTGTGGCCTAAAAGCCTTGCTCCACTCACTTCAAAACTCATGAGGTCGACTTGTGGCGAGTCTAGTATAATGATATTATTATTACTATCTGTAGTTGCTGACTCACCAACTTGTTTTGCTTCAATGGCAGCAGTGTACTCCCGTCCAAAACTTAGGTCTGTCTGGAATGACATTATCATACATACAAATTACAATTTTTCCCACAAAACACTTTGTTTTTAGTTTCAAAAACATACATCTGGAATGTAAAATCCAACTGACCAGAAACAGGGGCCAGTTTAATAAAACTTTTACAAATTAGTGTTATTTACAAGTGTGGCCATTGTTTTCTGACTCTAAAACAACAGTTACAATTGTATTATTACACTTGTAAAAGTTTCATTTACAGTATAACTGACCAAGAATTTCAATGCCTTTTGTTACAGGGAACCTGGCAAATACATGTAAAAAACTGATTCAAATCTGTCCTCTGAGTGGTTTCATTGAAATACCCTGGTAATCTATAAATTTATGTAGGTGGATATTTTAAGATTCGTGAACTGTGATTACTTTGGTTTCCTGTGAAAATTTGAGGCCTGTAACATTCCTGTTGCTTTTGTGGCGTTACTCTATCACACTAAATTTTGATCAACTTTTGGATTTTTTTTGCCTCTTTCACCATTGGTGACATCCACTGAATCTCTGACAGAAATACACTCTAAGAATCTCAAGTACTATCAGTGTAAAATAAAAACTTTAACTTTGGCAAAATGTGCAACTTACAATTGACACATCATCCAGAATAACATAAAAATCCTTTGCTCGGTCAGTGAGTTGCCTTCTGATCAAAAGACTAACCTACAGAAAAATGAAACAAAAAATAATAATCATAACAAATAAAAATAAATAAATAAAAAATAGTAGCATACATAAAAAAACAAAACAAAACAAAACAAACAGTTTGTAAAAGGAAAGAGAAATAATAATGTATGTAAAATATGGCTTATAAAACTTTAAATTAATAGAACAGTGCATGTATTTTGATGAAATCTACATGTACTGCCACTATTAATTTCTGCTGCATGTAAGTTACCTACAGCACCAGCCTCCTCAGCAGGCATCTGGGAAGAGAATGAGGGTTGCCGTGGAGGAGGCTACTACAGTACTGCAGAGATCTCCACAGCACAAGGAGACTTACAGTATCCTTGGAGACCAAGCATATTTTTAGTATCCAGTTTCTAAGCTAGACTTCCCCTTTCTCACATGTCAAGAACTTTGTACAATGATCAAAGACAAAAGTCTTATGACAAATTTGCATGGGTGGCAATAACCAAAACTACACATGCCCATCCCCTACCCTACCCAGGGCTTCTGATATTTCGCGGAAAAAAAAGCAAAATTTCGCGGGATTTTCAGGGGCAAATTCGTGGAAAAATCGGCCGATTTCGCGGGATTTTCGCGGGAAAAAAGTCAAAATTCGCGGAACAATCGGCCGATTTCAGGCGATTTTCGCAGGAGAAAAGTCAAAATTCGCAGGAAAATCGGCCCATTTCGAGGGATTTTAGCGGAAAAGAGTCAATTTTCGAAGGATTTTCGGGGGCAAATAATTTCCTAAGAATTTCTTAGGAAAATCGGCCGATTTCACGAGAAATTTCGGGGGAAACTTCGCCAAGAAACAATCAACAAAAACAGCCCATTTCGCTGGGGTTTTTTTGGCAAATTTCGCTATAATCGATCAATTTTGCGTCGATATGACCGGGCGCTGGTGAACGTTTTTTTAACACGGATAATCATTTGCTCTTTCAACAACAGTTCGCCGAGAAATAAGCGCATGTTAAAGCTATCAACATTATGGTTAGTGCCCAGTTTTTCGCAACGTTCATCTAAAAACGCCTGGTAGTTTTGGGACGTTGTTTACTCGTTGCAGTGATGAAGTTTCAAGCTAAATTTGGACGTTTGGGGTGAATAAAACCGGTCTAATAGCCAAGATAAGTATTAAATATGTTTTGCCGACATGTATTTGGAAATATTTCTGACGGATTTCGCGGTATTTCGCGGTTTTTTGGGAAATTCGCGGGATTTCGCGGAAATACCTGAATTTCGCGGGTCCGCGACCGCACGAAATATCAGAAGCCCTGCCTACCACATATATGAAGTTGAATCCATGTACAGGTGTTCACAATAATTTATTTATTTTCCTGGGCCTTCATCACTATGCAGGCTGAGAGGAGTGCAACTGAAGGCACACGTATCAGGGGCACCCAACGAGAATATAGTTCAAAACCACTTAACCATAGCATTGTTAAACGTATTTTAGTATTAAAACGGTAGATATAGGCACACTTTTATCCCTTAAAAATTTGTCACCTGTTCGGATTTCCTAGCTGAAAGTCTAGTGATCCGAAAATTATAGGGATCAAAACTTGCTCATTCGAAAATTTCAGCCAGAAAAAAGGCTCCCGAAAATTCTAGGTGACCTTTTTACCGTAAAAATCTGTTAAAAATGGGCAATTATACCATTTTGGGGAGGTTCGAAAACCCCAGGAGAGGCATGCAAGCAAGAAATTTAACAACAAATGTTCAGAAAATTCTAGATCTCAAATTGTCTTCCGAACAGGTAGTTTCCAAAAATTGTCGTTGGGTGCCCCTGATGTATGACCCTTGCACTATTATTATTCCCACTTTGCACCGTTTGAGTGACCGATCTATAAGATGCTTACCTCTTGTCGCATTGTAATCAGTTGTGAAGCATTAAACTGGGCCACAACACTTTTCAAAACCTAAGAGGACGTAAAAAATGTTACAACAGAAGCAAAGAGCTATTCAGCATACAGATAGTGTTTTTGAATGTACAATGAGTCGCAAAAATCTTAAACTCATAACAGTCTATTAAATTACAATATAAAATAGAATTTGAGAAAAGGATTCCTTGCACCTCTCTAAAATTACAGGACACATACAGCTGTACATGTGCACAGTCATAACAGTATACTGATGGTCCGATGGTCACATTATTTTTGTGGCCTGGTCAATTTAGACAGTCATGTGGTACATCTTACTAATGCACCACCAAATTATACCTTATGAATATAAATTTTTTCAATTGACATATGTTTTTGTATGTGCACAGTATAATTTATGAAATTGTTGTACAATGTAAATCAGCCTTAACAACCACTTCCCTTTTTTACTTTTGATACACATCATGCTTTAAAAGATATTATATTATAATGTGTATTACAGTGATGGTCCCTACATGTAGTTATGCAGCCAGAAAAGAAAATGAAAAGAATTTGCAAATTAAAGAAAATACACAACAGTTAAGAGAATTTACAATTATCTACAACAAATACAAAAATCTATAACAAAATTTTCACGTTACTGGTCTGAGATTTAAATTGTAACAATGCGGGCATACAATGTAGATGTACATTTGTACACAGGTGATCAGGCAAGTACCTCATTCATAATGGAAGGCAAAACTCGTTCATCGAAGTCCAACCCAAGCTTTCTGTACATTTCAGGTAACATGGTAGCCTGTGGACGAGCCAGCACCCGAAGACCAATGTTTACCATCTGAAGATCTGGAAACAATAAAATGAACAAAAATTTACAAAAATTGTGTACGGTCAAAACCTGTTCGTATGGACACTGAGGGAGCCACAGAAAGTGTCCTTATAAACAAGGTGTCCATTATTGACCAAGTGTCCATGAAGCAGGATTTGACTGTAGGACTGTTTTACATGTATGTTAAGTGACAACTGTGAAAAGATTGGGAGTACATGGAAAAAGGCAAAGATTTAATTACTTAACACTTGTACCTTTACTTCCAGTTGGAGAAACAATCTTCCTTGGTTTGGATCTAATGTCATAAATTATAGGGTACTGGAACCATGGAATCCTAACAAAAGACAAAATATCATGTAATATATGTACATGTAAGTGTATTCTGTGTGCTGTGGGAAATTCCCAATATTATTTCTTTGGATGACTGTAACAATTATGTGTAAACTACCGTATGTCTATTCCGAGTATACTTGACTGCAATTTCTAGTTTCATTTGCAGATGTGCAGAATAAATTTGGCATACAGTAATCTGTACTTGAGTTTCCTAGATTCGGCACAAATCTCCCAGTCTACTGTAAGGGTCACCAAATCTCTCAGATAAAAGTGACTTGTGATTTTTCCTGTGCTTTAGCTCGGATTTTTCTGATTGGTTGAATCAAATTTCGCACGCATCACAACCAATCAGAAGCACTACCCAGATCTGGGTAGTGACGTGTCATCAGTAAGAAATTTCTGCGCTTGTTTCTCAGACGTCGTTTGGCGGGGAAACCACTGGTAGTGTCGCCAAATGTCAGCTGTTTTCTTGGGCTGAGAGACAGTCTGATACACATCTCTGATAAAAGGAATGCATCATACACACACATGTAATGTTTTCATTGTGACAGTAGGTGAATAAGTTTGATCATGCAGTACTGTACCTGAAGTGAAGACCCTCAGTATAAATGTTGTCCTGTATGCCTCCAATTCTGCTAAAGATAATTGCCCTGTGTCCACCATCAACTATAAAATGCACCATGAAACATAAAGAGGGTGAGCTGGTACATTCATGGCCAAAACATGCAGTGAAATTGAAGAAAACCCGCACTGTTCAATTCAGTGTACTCTAAACAGAGAGTCCAGTAGCCCGGGATGGTGGATTTAGCTACCGGGCTAGTGAAAAAACATGGGCAAGTGAAGTTCAAATTAAAAGAAAAATCCAGCTCAGCAAACGTTTTTGTTCAATTTTGGGCTAGAACCTTCCACAGCTTGCCCGAGTGGTAAGCTGTAAAACTGACTTTCTTTGCACCCTGAATTTGTTAAGGCTATACCGTACCTCAAATTAATAGTCACCACCAAACTGTTGAAGCAAATAACTTTCAATAAGCTTAGACGGTGAAGAAGGATCTCAAACCCTTGAATTACGAGCGGATCTTAATACTTTTGCAAGGAACTGTCAGACAATCGGCTAAGAAATATATAAGCTTAAATATCACATCTATCTTGCATCATGCAAAAGCAATATGAACTCTTCATAGAAACTTGGGCACCGAACACATAAAGAAGATTACCTGTATAAATCGATTCCTTGACTCCATAAGCAACTGCTGCAGCCGCAGCAAGGAGTTTGAGCCCTGTCCCAACTCCCTTAGGAGCTTTTCCCATCCGACCAGCAAACTCAGTAAATTTGTCAGCCATCTTGCCTTCTTCACGTGTGCAAGAACCTCCAGGAGTGACGTAAGAACAAGGAAAGGTTACCAAGTCGAGAGGTTACCAAGCGCTCCCAAAACAACATGGCGGACAGCGGAGCACAAAGAGCGAGTCTAGAATTTTTTCAGTATTTGATAAATTCTCCTGAAAGGTGAGGCAATTTTACAGCGTCTGTATAGTGTTTAAGAGCCTCAGCTTACTGAAGGCTGATTTTTTTACATGACAGTTGCGTGGACGATAAAGTATGCGTGGTGGGAATCTTTGGGAAAGACAACGTTGGTTACAAATCGAAAGCTGTACATTTGAATGGAACCATCGGGAAAGAAGTCTTTAAGGTTTGCTTTAAATTGAATTGTGTTTTCAGATGAATTGGAACCTGCAACAATTGCCAAAACTTGCTAGTAATACTAAAATAATGTTCATTGAACGGTACTGAAGCTAGGTAAAGTTACGTTAATTACTGACTGTCATATTGCTGTTACAGTTTATTTATTATTTATTATTATTATTATTATTATTTAAGTTATTATTCAATACATTAATGCACTCAGCAATCTCATGCTCTTTCATTTATTATAGTTATATCACAGGCAGACCACCCTCTGTCTGTTTGGCAGTTTATTGAAATCTGAGCATCAATAGTGCCAACCAGAGGCTGATTGGCTCTTGAAACAACAGGTTCTTTGTCTCAATGGTTGGCACATTTGAATAAATAAAAAAAAACGATGTTTACAAACAAGAAATATTGCTATAGAATAAATACAGATGATTATTATGGCAGCTACAATTTACTCCAAAATACAGAATCCTGATTTGAACATAAATTGTTTCAATAAAAATTCAAACGAAATGTCAACTTTGTCATTTGTCATATTTTTTTCACTGTCCTGAGCAGTTTTAAGCATTATTTTGTGACATGATTATTTTATCCTGGCAGTTAGAACTAAAAAAGGAGACAAAGAAGCAGCAATCTGCCAGCGGCCAGTGGTCCAGTCCTCTTCAAGCTAGCAAAAACCATTAAATTTCTCAGCTCAAAAACACGGGCATCTGATCATGGAGTTATGTCTTCAAACCCTAGCTGAATCTCAGCTCAGTCCTTCCAAAATTTACCAAGAAAAGTGATCCTGAAGCTACAAGAGCACCTTTTTCAACTTCATCAGTGAAAAATGCACAACCAGTAGAATTTGATGGACTGATGCCCAGATTTCAATAACAACGATGGTCACACAAACTGGTGGGATTAAGCTTACCTCTTATGTTTTGAGCCAGAATCTCTAGAATATTTGGTATAATGAAAATCAACACTTACTTATGAATATTGCTATTTGTCTGTTTTGTTTGTTTGTTTGTTTGTAGATTGACTTCCTGGATAGCATGTTTAAAAACAAGGACACACATGAGTTCTCTGTACGTATCAATGACAGCGAAATGTAGTCATAACCTGATGTAATAATCTCAGCGAATGCAACGCATACATTATAAAATTTAGAAAAGAGTGAATAAATATTAGAAATTAACTTCTAAGAGGTGTGTATTGAATAGAGGTTTAAGCTTTGACTACTTACGTCATAGTAGATCATGGCGATTATGGTGGTAAGAAATCTCAGAAGCTCAGAATTTTTTTGTGCTTTTAGTTTTGATCAGATCGAATTCTTTCTCTTCTTTAAGAGACCATTAAAAAGAAAACATAAGTTTTTTTAATATGTTTATATGCTAAGAAAAAAAAAATACCAGCCATAATCCATCGGACATTTTCAGTAATTGATCGCATCACATATTTTTGTTTGGTGATTGATTATAAGCAATGATTGGCAGACCATCCCACCACTCCTTTATTTATAAACTTTTGTACTATTTTATAAATATATGATGTGTTAATTTAGTTTTTATTTAAAATTTAGTGCTTCTTTTTTGTCTTACAGTGTGATATTGATGTCTACCACGATGTTGAACAGAGAATAATTTATTTACACCTTGTCTCCGTTTATGACATTTCAAGACTGCTGCAACTTTGTAAACAAGCACCACAAGAAGTAGAAAATGCGGTATGTTCATGAAAATCCCAGTAAACAATAAAATTAAATGAAAAAATGTAATTTATATTCATGTGTCAATAATAATAAAACAATCTAATTGATAAAGATTATGGGTACATTTAGTCCAAAAGGATGTTTGTTGATTTTTCTAAAAAATTAATGTATGTCTTATATAGTCGAACCCGGGCTGTTAATACAGGTATTTACCATATATGGGACTGTTAATTAACAGTGTCCAGATTAACGGGGTGTTTGTATTATGAGGACACCACTTTCTGTCCTTGTTTATTCCTTGTTCTCATTAATATTGTAGGGGCTTGTGGTCGGGAGGTCTAGATTTACAATGATGAAGTAATGTGCTATCAGTGGAAGCCCCTGGACATCCCAGCAAACTGCCTGCATCTGCTAAGAGATGTAGTTGTTAATACCGGCTTCTTAAATTTATTTCAGCACATTTTTTTTAAAATTATGTCTTGTGAACTTTAGTCTCAAATAAAGGAGTGGCTATAAACTAACTTTATCTTCCAGGAGTCTCATCAATACTGGATGTCCCATGAATTCTACTATGCCTGTGCCCTCATGTTTCTATTCTCTGTTTCTCACATCATTGTTGTAAGTAGAGCTTGCCTGTCCCTTATTTTTTTATTTAACTTTGGTAAAAGCTAGGGGATATTTGGACTTGTATACAGTGTACACCTGTATGCAGGCCATCTGATAGGATGCGATAAAAAATCAGAAATTGTGCGATATTTTCCAGGTATATTGTGCGATAAGATAGAACTATTATGCAATAAATTATGTGATTTTTTAGAGGTAATTTCCATTGTTTTACCAGGTTTCAAAGGAGAAAAACCACTTTAATGTTGTTTAGTGGGCAATTTGAATGTAAAGGAATAATAAAACATCTATTTTAAAACAAAAGAGTTATTAAAATTTGTCTGATTATTTTGACCCGCAAAAGAAAAAGGACACTTGCTTAATAGTACATGACGCCCTTACACCGCTGACCACACTGCTTGTTTCTGAAATCAAAATGGCTGCCCAGATATATGGCAGATACCGCGATTGAAGGTTTCAGTAGACTACAAGCAGTCTCTCTTTTTCCTGTAGTCCGTCGAGCAAAACGCGAGACACACAAATGGCCACGCGCGTGACTGATGGCCCTCGTTTCACGCGTCTTGCGGCTTCGCCGCTCCCGCGCGCGTGCATTGCTCTCACTAAATCTGAAGAAAAAGAGAGACTGTTCGCAGCTAGTCTAAGGTTTCACATGTCTTGCAAGACTTTTTTTTAGTGGTAAATCACCTTAAATAACATTAAGGGAAAATGTTTAATTAAAGTTAGAATTCATTGTTTACTTTTTTTTACAAATTGTGCGATCGGATGCGATTTGAGGTCAATTGTGTGAAATCGCACCATCGCATAATATCAGATTGCCTGTGTATGTTATAACTGCAGGTCAAATTTCATTTCAGGATACTTTTGATTTATTAAACCTTGCAGGTTGATTCTCAATTTCTTTGGTCTCCTAGCCCTTGACAACAAAGGAAATTGAGAACCAACCAACAGTGTACTTCAGAAAATTTTACCAGGAATAAATTTGGCCCCACCTCATACACGGATTTAATAGTACATGAAATGAATAGTGTGTACATGTATTTTAAATTAAATCAATAAGTGGAAACAATTTTAGTAAATTTAAATGTTACAAATGAAAAAACAATAAGCCACATAAAAGAGATGTGATCCATAATATGATCACCAATTTCAGGTTTAAAAATTCCTTGGTGTTGTTGTTTTTGTTGTTTTCATGCATGGTGCGTCCCTTTAATAAGCTCCTGTCTTCTTTGTGTGATGAAGGAGAATATCAGCTGGGGAAGAATCAAAGCCAATCAGAAACCAAGAAATTCATGTATTTTTATTTGAAGAATAATCATGGTGCAAATTAGGGGCACCCAACCAGAATATAGTTCAAAACCACTTTAACATAGCATTGTTGAACGTATTTTAGTATTTAAAATGGTAGATATAGGCATATTTTTATCCGCTAAAAATTTTTCATCTGTTCGGATTTCCTAGCTGAAAGTCTAGTGATCTGAAAATTATAGGGATCAAAACTTACTTTTTTGAAAATTTCATCTGGAAAAAAAGGCTCCCAAAAATTCTAGGTGACCTTTTTAGGGTTAATTAGCCATTACAAACGGGCAATAATTGCCCGTTTGGTATAATTATTATACCAATTTTTTAGATGTTTGAAAATCCTAGGAGAGGCGGGCAAGCAAGAAATTTTACAACAAATGTTCCGAAAATTCTAGATCTTAAATCGTCTTCTGAACAGATATTTTCCAAAAATTGAAGTTGGGTGCCCCTGACAAAATTAATGTATGCTAGTGATTAGGTACATGTATTTGGTACATCACTTGCTTGTGTGTATTAGTAACCATTACTATGCTTTCATATTTTTTTTTAAGGTCTTGCATCCCTCACAAACATTTGATCTGAATTACATTAGACTATTTCGCACTTTAGCTTCCACAAGGTTAGTACAACTTACAAAACTCAAAAATATACAGCAGGTAATAAGACTACAATTGATTTTTTTTTTCACCCTATTTACTAGCATATAACCTAAATAAAGACTTCATTTTTACCATATCAAGCGCATTATGCATAATCAATCTCAGACCCCTCCACATTTTTCAACTTTTGACTGGGACAAGTGAGTGAACATCTGTGGACATCACCTTAAAACAAGTTAAGTTGCCAAGTTTGGAAATGATTTGTTGAAAACTAACAAGGAAATAGCTCTGCAAAGTCATGGAATTTTGTACTGATTTGTATTTAAATGTCTGTAAAATTCTGACAATTTGTGGAGCTACATGTATAATCTTTGTTCTCCTTGGATGTACCACCTTATAGTTTAAACGTGGTTAGTTACAGTTACATGTAACCTTCTTTTAAGGCTATCTTTCCAGCAGTTTCAATGCATAATTTTAGCCTTTAATAATGCTTTTTACCAAAAGTTGGGAAAAATGTGAAAGGTTCTACTCTTATTTTCCTGCCAATGACTCTGGTTGCATTGTGTAAACTTTTTCTGATACTGTAGGCATCAGCTGCTACCCCAGATTTCACAACTGCTGTCTGGCGTTGAGGGAATTCCAGAGATCTGGAGACAAACAGGCCGACCTTGTATTCCCAGACTTGTGTGCTCTCTCAGACAGGTAATACTCTGCTATGAACCCACCTCTCTCCAGTGGGTACTATTTTTCACCTCCCCACCCCCTCTCCCAGGGGCTTCATTTACTCTTACAGTCAAACCAGGTCAAGCGTACCCCCCCAGAATACATTAATGTTTTTATTATTCAAAAGTTGAATCCGTTGCCAGTTGTAGATTTCAGATTGATCTCTGCATTCTTGCATGTGTAATGCGCCGTGAATTCACACGCGAGGCAGTTATGAAATTTCTACCAGCTCCATTTTTCGAAATTGATGTAAATGTCTTCTAAGAAGCTTAATCCATTCAAAGATTTCCAATCTGACCAAATACAGAGAAGTTCTCGTAAAATATTCACTGCTCATTACGCATGCAGAAATGCCACTTTGAATTTGACACCAGTTATGGGAACGAATAACGGATTTATTTTTCAAATAATCAATTCATTAATAGAATCTTGGGGGGTACGCTTGACTTGGTTTGACTGTAACACCTTTCTCCAGCTAGGTTTCCTACAGGAAGTAGAATCTGGAAAGTCAAGGAATTATATCATTTATAAATTGTCAATCATGAAAAGTCATGGGACATTGAAGTACAGTCATTAGTTTGAAGTGTGCACTAATTACATTGGCAACAAGTAATTTGATAGTGATGAGTGGCATGCATTTTGGTGGACATCAGAATTTATGTCTGTTGAACTTTAATCAAGAGTAAAATACATAAAAAACAAACAAACAAACAAACAACCAAAACAAGTAAAAACAAAATAACTTAAGACAAGAATAAGTTTTAACATTTCGAAAGTGACAGCTAAACCTATGGAAGTTTATGAAAAAAAAAGTCATTGAATTTGAAGAACTCCAAAGAATACGAACCCTGCAAGGGTACCCCCCCCTCCTTCCCCGGGGTATGCACTCACTCTTAAATAAATGTACTATCTCACTCTGATGGCAAGATGGAAATTTTCTTTATACTTGAGGTGACTAATGTGGAGGAGACAAAGTGTACTCCCAAGCTTAAACTACTAAGGGAGGACAGTGTTTTTTGTCTTGATTGCATGTAATGAAAGTTGTATTCAAAAAGTTATCTCCTTTATTTTTAGCGTGTTCCCTTTATGGACCCTTCTCAAATTGTAAGTCTTAAAACATGTTTAACTTATAAATATAGATATTTTGTAACTTACGCTTTTTCAAGAATTTTAATAATAATATTAGTACTAACCTATTCACCCCTGAACCTCTGGTGGTGATCCACATCCCTTCTACCACTTAAATGATGTCATCAGTTTTAACGTTCAAGGACAACTTGGTCTGCTTACTTGTGCAGGGTATAGAGATCAGGGGTACCCAACGAGAATATAGTTCAAAACCACTTAAACATAACATTGTTAAACGTATTTTAATATTAAAATGGTAGATATGGGCATATTTTTATCCCCTAAAAATTTTTCATCTGTTCGGATTTCCTAGCTGAAAGTCTAGTGATTCAAAAATTATAGGGATCAAAACTTACCCATTCGAAAATTTCGGCCAGAAAAAAGGCTCCCGAGAATTGTAGGTGACCTTTTTAGGGTAAAAATCCGTTAAAAATGGGCAATTATACCATTTTTTAGATGTTCGAAAATCCTGGGAGAGGCAGACAAGCAAGAAATTTTGGAAAATATGTTTCGAAAATTTTAGATCTCAAGTCGTCTTCCGAACAGATATTTTCCGAAAATTGTCGTTGGGTGCCCCTGAGAGATCTTTCAAACCATTCCTGAATGAGCATGATTTTGTCAAGGAGGCCAGAAAAAATGCAAAGAAAAACATGTAATGTTGATCCGGAAATGGTCATGAAAATCTTGTTCCACTGCCCACCTACCTTAATTTCCTTTCATCTAATCCTAAGATAGTAAAAGCCGTCCCAAAAACCATTCTGCAGAAATAAATGCCTAGCAAAATGAAAGAAAAATGAGATGAGACAAGAAAAGCAAAAGAAGAGTCAAGAAGAGAAAAAGAAAAGAAAAAAGTGAAAACTACTGTGTCACATTGAAAACCAAGAACTATCTCAAAATTTTTCTTTCCGCACATGCTCAAACTTCAAAAGCAATATTATTTCGCATCTGGGTCAGAAGGCCATTGTTGTTTATTTATTTATTTATTTATTGGCATTTTATATTTGTTAGTCTGGTAAGAATCAGGATACCTATGCAAGTAAAACAAAAGGCAAGCAACAGGTATGTCTCTGAGATTGCACAGACTATTATTATTTGTGAGACTTTGACTATGTAATTTGGTGATCCACTCTTATTATTAAAAAGTTACTGAGTTTTTTGTTTTCATTGGACTCGGTCTGCTTTTGCCTGTTTTTGTGATTGTCCTCAAAGGCATTAAATTTTTTGAGCAATGCACCTGACCAAAAGCTGACTTTTTTTCTTTCATTTCTAGTGGTTTTTCCCAAGTTCTAGGACAAATAGGCCATTTGCACTAAGAGGTCATGTGACATCATTTTTATGAAAGTGAAAGTTATATGATTTTTTTCTTCAAAAAACGATTAGTGGGTCATGTCTTGAACAAAATAATAGTGACTTTGTTATTCAAACCCGTACGATTTTCTTAAAATGAGTAAGTTCGTAGTTGGTCACGTGACCAAAATGTGATTTTTGAAATTGTGAATTACCTCTTTCTCAACACAAATTTTGCTCTTAAACTTCAAGGAGAATGTTGAAAAGTTGATGTGGGAACGTTTACAGCACATCTGAGCGCAACTATCAAACGTTTAACAAGATCTAAGCAAAAAGAAGTTTTGGCCGCCATGTTGGAGGGCAAGAGTATGCCCTCCAACATGGCGGCCAATACAAATCATACTGCTTTGTTGAAAAATCAAAGTGCCATAAAATATCTCCCTTAAATGCGTTTCCCCTCAAATTTCGGGTGTAAGATAATTTTTATGTGCTCTGTCAATTTTTGGCATCAGCAAGATTCCAACTCATTGTTTAAATGAAACATTGGTCACGTGACCTCTTAGTGCAAGTGGCCTATTGACTATCTATAAGAGTAAAAGACCCTACATGTAGCGAATAAAAAAATTGGTAGTGTCAAGGCTTAATAGAGAGCTTTAGATTTGAGGACGAGAACGGATATGAGTATGAGATTTAGCTTAAAGTTTTTGGGCGCGTTCTCAACAAAAAGACGCCCTGAAAGCTTCATATCAGAAGGAGGTTAAGCCCTCTCTCGATAGCAAAATGATAAAACTTCTATAAACATTTGATAACTTGTTCCTGCCACTACGACATTCTCGCTGAAACTCGTAGTAGAATGACAATGGCTATCACGTTTTCCCGCCATAATGACACTGGTTCACGCGTGAACGATACTCAGTATAATTGAGAAAATCTCGTGCTCGTAGTTGTTCTCATCTCAGAATCTAAAGGTTTCTATTGAAAGGAAAAAGGCTTCAATTATGGTTGACGTGCATGGCTCAAAAAATGCCTCTTGTTAAGCTCGTTAATATCAGTCTCCATCGGTTTCAGACCAGCTTGTTTATGATCAGGATATTAAGACAAGCCCTGATGTAATAGAATATGTTTTTTTTATTTTATTTCTATAGACCATCACTCCTCAAAAGAAGCTTCAACATGCAGTAGAGGATCAGTTGTACAGTATCATGAGAAAAGCAAGGCTTCTTGGCAGCCTCAGGTGAATAATTCTCAGTCTATCTATGTATGTGGATGCTAGTTAACTGAAGCAAACTTCCATCTCATAGTGATTGGTAAAGTTACATTGTATACTCCTCGTCCAAACGTAACTTGGACAATTAGTCGATGACATCATTAATTTTGATTTATTGTTTTTAAATCGCGGTAAGCCTGAATTATTTTTTCAGGCTTTCTTTTTGCATCCGCACTCCGATGATCTTCTTCGCATTTAGGTTTTCATTCCGCGGTTCCAATATATGACATATATTCGTCATTTCATCTCCATATTTCCCAGTTATATTACGAACCAATTCAACTTAACGACCAGCTTCCAGTTGGTTCGCTAGCTAAATAATAGGCAGAGCACTGCACCGGTATTGCAGAAGTCAGGGTTTGAATCCTGGCACTAGAAGCCACACATTTTTCAGGCTCTCTTTTGGCAACTGCATAAGTTGCAATTTCAACTGCAATGATGGTTCATTTATTTCTTCATTCCACCTTTCAAATAATTTATATGAAAACCATATATTCATATTTAATTTTTGAACCTCAGCGAAATTGCCAATTTTGAATAAGAAAGCAAATTAGTTATGTTTGTTGTGAGCAAATGCCTATTACGTGTTAGTATTAGTAAGGTTTTATGGATAATTATTCTTTCTTTTATTTTTCCAGTTCTAGTTCTCTGTTTACAGTAAATTCAAGCCATGCCTTTGTTCATGTGCAACCTTGTTCAAGGGCTTTTGATCCTGTATCGGTTCTGCTTAACACGTTGGCCAAGCCAGCCATTAACACAAAATGGGGTAAGGAGTTACATAAGACTTCAATATCGTTACTGTTTGTCATTATTATTGTTATTATATATTTATTTATTTATTTTCATGTTTTGAAAAGTTACAAACCGCTTGTTTATTTTACGGTTCCCAAAAGGTAGGATGAACTCTAAAAAAATATTGTAGGGAAACTCTGAAAAGACTCTGAACCTTATGTTGAAATACAGGTGTTGGTGAGACCCAGCGTTTATTAATTTCATATTAGATTTTGTCCAAAAACTACAATTTTCTTGTTTCCGAAAGAAAACCGAGAAAGTAAAGCACAAAAGAATATTAAAATCAGAGACATGCGTTGTTATAATCTAAAAAGTGTACGTACTCAATTACATAGTACACCGATCGTCAGACTAACACAGTCAGCTTAATAGGGCTGCAACAATGCTTCTTCCCACGATACCGACGAGAGAGATCGCGATACATGGGCTACGATATAATAAAATTATGCGATAAGATATATTTATAAATTACTCCTTCGAAACGCGAAGTCGATAAATTTCGTGGCACCAAAAAAGCTCAGTGATTTCCAGCGGCAGCTATTCTCTTACTAAAAAATTGCCCGCTTTTAACTGTTTGCAGTTGAATCGAGTCCCTTACTGAAAAACAGTAAATTCCTCAAGAGAGAGATACTGCAACCTGGAGGTGACGTAGAAACACTGGGCTCTGCGGAAGAAGTGTTTTTTAAAGATTATCTGAAACAACAGATTGATCATCTGATGACTGGAGATGCTGGACGGGACGGAGTGGCGGAAGGACGCAGAGGAACTCATGTTGAGGTACCTACGAGTGTTGAACCATCATTACGAAGGGCTCGAAAAAAACTTGAACTCCAACTTGTTCTTTGGGCAAGCAGCTACAACCCCGGACAAAACTGTTGAGACATTTCCATGTATTTTTCAATTTCACGCCATGCAACCATCTTGTCGAAACTGAACAAAGTCGCCCCCCTCCCAACCTCTTGTGCAATGTTGTTTTGGCCTTACAGCTCACGTGTGCATTCTTGTGTTACCGTAAATAGCATTGCAATAGCGGAGGGGGGAAACGGACGGACCCAGGAATTTTTATGGGGGGAGGGATATTTTGGTTCAGAAAGGACTGTTGTTTCTCGGTCGCTGTTGGCGCAGGAAATACTGCTTTGCGAGCAGAGGCGAACAGATCATAGGAGGGTACCCAAAAACAATTACATTTTTGAATATCCCTGGAATTTAGTTTAGTGGCAAAATGCAACGCGCGTTTCATTAAAAAAAATTCAGCCAGTTAAACAGCGATATACGATGTAAGAATTTCAGTCTCAAACAAGAGTCAGATGTGATGAATCCGCCACTGCGTATCAGTTTAACAGCTTAAACATTTGCTATGAATTTCCGTCAGTGAGGGTAGTTTTTGATTTCCACACTCGCCGAAGAACGAATGTTCGCTAGATTCTGGAGTTATTAGATTAGAGGAATGAGAGAAACGAACGATAGAAAATAAGCAATGCGCAACACTAACTCATATTTAACTTGACTCTTGCCTCGAAGGTTCCATCATGTCGTCTTTGGGCACGCGTGTCTCTTGCACTATTCGAATTTTTCTTGACGCCTAAAAGCGACCTGATTGCTCCACTCGCAGCCATGGCTTCTCATTTGGATCTGGACATGAAGTTTTCGGAAGCGTAAGTATTTTGCTGTGTCAACGGCCTTGCCTTTAAAGTGGATTTCCACTGTCGCGTAACTTTTACGTGCGCACGAAACAACGCACGTTTACGCACGGCTTTCAGACATTACTCCTATTTTATTTACGCGCGTAAAATTAACCCGCATACGTACGTAAAAGTTACGGGAAAGTGAAAATCCATCCTAAGGAGATTATGGCGGGGTTCGCGATGATAATATATGTTATGGTTTCATAGAAATATGATTAGGGGACATGTGTTTTGCTGTGACAATTTAATGTACAACTTAAGGAACTTGCAACTAAATGTTAGTTTCATTGGTTAGTTAAGGTGAATTTCCACTGTTGCGTTATTTTTACGTGCGTAGGCACCTACATTTAACGCGCGTAAAGAAAATCGAGGCAATGTATGGAAGGTCGTGCGTTAACATTAACGTTAAAACTCACTCAACCTTTACGTTCACGCGCGACCTTTCATACATTGCCCCTGTGTTATTTACGCCCGTAAATTTTACGCGTGTACATGTACGCAGGTAAAACTAACGCGACAGTGGGAATCCACCTTTAGGGTCGATTTCCACTGTCGCGTAATTTTTACGTGCGTACGTGCGTAAAATTTACGTTCACAAAATTAATAAAATAGAGGCAATGTCTGAAAGGTCACACGTAAGTGTAAAAGTAGAACCTTGCCTCTGTTTATTTACGTGATTAAAATTTACTTGCGTTAACATGCGTAGCCAAAAGCTAGTCAGTGGAAATCAACCTTTAGTTAGCTTCTGCCCCAAAGCCGATTGAGAATTAGTCAATCTGGTCAGGCATTCTGTTGGCATTTAGACGGACTGCCTCCTACACACTCGCATCCCCAGCTCCAGCTTCAGCCACACAAATTTAACCTTATAAATCTAATACAGTCGTCTTCCCTTGATCCTCGCCGCAGGAGAGACGTCTGAACCATGACGTGGGAAATTCCATACTGATGGGGTAAAACAATGTTAACATAGTTAATCTGGTAGTCGTGGGGTTTCAAATGTAAATATGTTTGAGTTTATCTTTATCCGGGTCTATCATTGACTTTTGCAAACGAGCTGCAGCATGTAAGGGAATCTGGATTCCGCCATCCGGGAAATTTGTGCTTGTTGAATCGGGAATCTGATTAAATTTCTCGTCTGGAATCCGGAATCATGAGCTTTGAAATCAGGAATACAGCTCAAGGAATCCGGAATCCTACTAAAGATTGGAATTCAATATCCAAGTTCCACTGACAAAGACCGGAATCCGGTACCTGGAATCCGATGATCCAAGACCGTCTTGTGTTTCCTTAGATGGGGCGATGCGTACCATGGCGGTTTTGTCGGGTGTACTACCAATCCCCTCGCAGTTTCACTGCCCTCGCCCACCTTGGCTTGTTTAGGCGCACGTCCAAAACCGCCATGCTACGCAGGCTAACCAATCCGAGCGCCTCACCATATTCCGAACAGGTTTAACGTCATCACTATGGATTTTTTTTCGTTAAGGCGCGCACGTCTCTCCTGCGAATCGCCTGTAGTGACGAGGAGCGAGGAGAGGCGGCTGTATTTGCAGGCTAGTTTCACTCAAGAAAGTTGTCGTCACTTGCATCGTCAATCAATTTATTTATTTATTATTTTTATTTTTGTTTTTCCCGAGCAGACGCTGTCGGAAGGCAATACCAGTTGCTACCAGTGCGTACCTGGAGAACCTTCCATCACATTACACTCAGAATGTGCATTTGAATCAGGTTAGTAAACTGTATTTGAGAATGCAAACTCATACTGATGGTTAACCCTCCCCCCCCGAGTCCCTCTTATTTACAACGACCTATTATACCAGTGGAGTATCCAGGGAAGGGGCCCGGGCCCTTATTTTTAAACCAAACTGCGGCGGAAGGGTCGAAAACAACTTTTGGAGACCGCCCCTCCCCCTTATCTAAGGGTCTGGATGGCCGCTCCGCCCCCCCCCTCCCGCCCTCTATCTCGAGGTCTGGATCTGGCATGGTGTACAATTCAAATTTTAGTTTGATATGTGAAAATGTTGACAGTTACTTTGTTTTCTTTTGCCAATGTACTTGTTAACCTTTCCTTGCCTAAATTTTTGCAGTTGTCTCAAGCATTGCGCGTGTTTTCCTTGCACGCCCGTGGACCTGCGTTCGAGCACTACGCGGCTCAGTTTCAGGACGAGTGTAATAAGGTAACTTACTACCTTGACAGGAACCTTTTTTTATGGAGGCCCCCGTTCTGGTCAAAATTATGACAATATAATTGCAAGGTGGCAATGGCGGCGTAGTAGTGAGAGCATTCGCCTTCCACCAATGTGGTCCGGGTTTGGACCCTCTGACACGTTTCAACGAGTTCTTAAGAAACCCTAAGTGCTTCGTGCGTAAACAAATTACAATTTACATTTTTTTCTCACTTTTTCTCATTTTTTTGTTTCAATTTTGTTTTTCATTTTTGTTTTGTTTTGTTTTGTTTTTGTTTTTGTTTTTGTTTGTGTTTTTTCTTTTTTAACAGCAAGTCCGTTTTTTTTCCCACTGCAGCATATATTATAGACCCGTTGTTTATTTTTGTCATGACTAAACAATTCCTTTTTCAGCGAATCAGTAGTTATGCTTAGCAGCATGAATTATTTTTGTCATAATTAAACGAATAATTTCTTCATGCGTACCATGAATTATTTGGAATGTATTTTTTAGCCTACAATACATACAATACAATACATTGTGGCCCTTGCGGTTGGAGGGGACTGGTTCAAATGTTGACTTCCTTGGCGTCCATTTTGAAAACTGTGCAAGCGGATGAGTGCTTTCTAAGAGGAAGCCAAGGCGAAACATTGTCTGGGAAATAAATAAAAGAGGTTTTCATCTGTTGTTTCAAAATCTGAGAGGAGCCAGTAGTCTGGGTAAAGGGGGAGTAGAGGAGACTACCAAATCAAGCGGCTTCAAGACATCGTACACATCTCTAACCGCCTTGTTGAGTATGATATGTCTTCCCAAATGAGCAGTCCCCTGCCCATTCTTGTACCTCGAGTCTTCTCTCGTACTGTACATGCTTGCTTTGCGAATAAAGACGTAGGGCATGAGAGTGTCCCAGACCCTGAACCTCAGGAAGAAGCTCCCGATTCTAATCCAGACGGGCGGTCACTACAAGAAGCAGAGCCAGGACTCGAGGTAGAGATCTCACTAACTGGGAAATTCGATTGATTTCTGCTATGGCATTATTGGCTATCTCACGTATCTGCCGTTGAAAAAACTCATCTACTTCACAATATTAAAAATATAATGTTAAAAATCAAGAATGGCTGCCGATAAATGAAAACAACCAATATGTCGTAAAGAAATCGAGCGGGAAAGCACTCGAACAAGTCCCCTTCTTTCACAAGGCCCACAATGTATTGTAGGCCAAAAGATATATTCGTGATACCACAAAAAAATACTCTCAGCCCAATGAAAAAATAATTCTCAATACCAAGAGTAAAAAACAGTTCGTAGTACCACTGAAAAATTATCCGTGGTACCAGTGAAAAATTTATTTGGAGAACTGTAAAGAATAATCAGACGTAAATAATAATAATAAAAACAAAATTCATGCTACTAAAGGTTATTACCAACTTGTTGAAAAACGTATTGTATAGTAATGACAAAGATACACAACGGGTCCATTATAAGTGACCAGAACGGGCCTCCATATTTCCAAATTGTTAAAAGTAGTTGTTGATGATGATGATGATGATGATGACGATGACGGTGAGGTGACGATGATGACGACGGCGACGATGATGATGATGATGATGATGATTGGTAATGTAAAAAAGCGGAATTACAGACATTTTTCTTCTGCCGAAATTTTTCGCAAGCCCTTTTCTGTTCGCGGAAAGAGATCTTCTTGTTGGAGCAATATGTTGAAGGTTTTAAAAAGTTTCACAAAAAAAAAAAGATGTCTTGCCTGTTAGCCTGCGAACAAGCTCTCCCGCAGGAACCTTACGTTATAGCCTGATTAAAAGTCAGCCAATCAGCATCCATCCCCTTCTGGGACTCAGATATTCAAATTTCTGAGACGTACGTGTGAGCTCTTCTTCTCTGCTCTGTACTAGAGAGCTTGGTCGCAGTCTAGCAAGGAGATTGAAGATGGAGCCCTAGTTGACTGCGAAGATATGTTTTGACACTCAACTTTGGAAATACAGGTTTGGATGAACGGAAGACAGCTTTGTGAAGAGCGAAGTCTGACAGGACGCCATTGTGTTTACCCGGTAAGATGATTTCATATCAGCCCATTATTTTTTCTGAAATTGGAATTTTCTTCGAGCCCTGGCGTGCGTTTCTCTAAACTGCCAAAAACGTTTCAGTCCCGAAAAACAACTTAAGTGCACAGAGTTCATTTTTAATAAATTCAAGAGTAAAAAATTTAAAAACTTTACAAGATCGAGAGGTATGTTGGCCTACTTTGCCCAAAACTCCAGATAAAAAGGGAAAAAAAAGCACTTTGCGATCCAAAGAGAAATAGAAATAAGTGCTAAGCTCCGTTTGAAATTGTTGTGTAATTAACAGTGTAACAGGTAAGAGAACTGAGCAAAAAACTCAAGTGGAACGTACTGCCATTCTGAGCTCAGCTCATTGGTGATCTCTGGCGAAAACCTAAAAAAAATCACCAGGCAACAGTCTGTGCATCTATCTTCCCTTTTGTTTGTTACATGACCAGAGCAAAGTTGCTTTTCCTTTAAACTTGGGCGACTTTCTACTTTTTGGGGGATTTAATGTATTAAACTATGACAACAACAACAACAACAACGCAAACGTGCAAAGTGAATATAACTTCATGTAATATTTTCTGACATTGTTCTTAGTAAAATCCATCCATTCTGACTTTTCAGCTCGGTGTTCTGATTTTTTATTTTTCTCTCGCCAGTACCACCGAGTTCCAAGAGATGGAGAGGTGCCCTCGGACCCAGGCTCTGACGACTCCAAGGAGATGGGAATCACACCGTGTAAGCCTCACTCAAGTCGCATAACCAGCGTAAGTGCTTGCAACTGTGGAAGGATTCAAGAGCATAGAGAAGATCCCTTTGATCTCAAGGTAACGTAACAAGGGGGGCAGAACAGAACTATGCCCCAGGTGCCCAGACTGTATATGTGTAGTTCTATGTTGTCGCTAAAAGTTCTTCTTATTCACTAAGTAGCATAGTACATGCAACGAACATAATTACAGATTAGACCATTGGTCAAGAGGTCACTTAAAAGAGCTAAAACACAATAGAAAATTATTAAACCGTCTGCCCTGAAAAGTAGAGACGGTCCCTTACAGAAAGCGGTCGTTTACGCGTGGTTTCAACTGTAAAGCTTTAACCGGGAAAGCTTTCGTGTTTTGGATAAGTGGTCAATTATGGGCGGTGGTCGCTTACAAGAGGTGGTCGCGCATGGAGTTTCCACTGCATTAGTTTTGAAAGGGCCAAATAATATGATCAGTAGAGTGACTTGAATAAAAGCTTTCATTTGAAATGTCAGAATAACAGCTTACAGGGCGGGAGTATGATAGTGCACGGTGTCATTCGCAGAATTCGACCTTAAATAACAGTGACAAGAACAACTTTTTATTTTGCAGACTGCCAACTTTGATTTCTTTAACATGCTGGAACTCAAGTGTTGTTCGTCGCTAGTCCACCTGTTGTTTCCGTTTCATCCCATCTTGTCGTCTGTCAGAGAAGAAAACCAAGATCCTAAGAAAATGGAGGAAGAAGCACCCCTACTGGAAACGCCATCAGAGTTGGGAGCTCTCTCGGAAGAGGAGACAAAATCCGGGGGTGGTGGGGATGAGGATCACCGTGGACACGAAGCTTCTAACAGTGTTCCGTTAGTTTCCCCTGTCGCCACCACCACCGCATCCATTCCCATTCCTAAGGCGGGAAGCGTTGGAGGTGTTGAGGCTGTCGGTAGCATGGGATACAGTGCCAGCTCCACCTATGGCGCGAGTGGGTACCAGTCGACCCTCGATATGATGAGTCACGAAGGGCCTGAGTTCAGAAGTATGACCTCTGAGCTCAAGAGTGGTGTTTCCTTGGGAATGCCCAGCGAAATTAGCACAGCAGGTTCCCAAGATGTCTTTCATACCGCGGGTAATGATCACGCTCAGCGCCTGGCCTCTGCAGAGAAATTCACGCGACAGCGCAGCGAAAAAGAGCAGGTGTTATTAGAGACCATGTTAACCACCGACTCACCCTCCGGAATTTTCCCGCGTTTCCCTTCTTGGTCGCTTTGCCGTTTGGGAAGTTCGAACGGGTACAGTCCCTCGAAGGGTCTTGAGTTGCCGGGATTTTTCCCGAACAGTAACTTCCTGCTAGCTTGGGATATCCCGCTGTTGAATGACAGCCAGTCCGATTTGCCGAGCCAGTTTGATGGACAGGGAAAGCATCTCGGCCCAAAACAAATGACAGAGGAGGCATGGCCCACGCTAAACGAGCTTCCTTCCGCTGGAAGTAGTATTTCATCACTTCCTCTACACCAGGCTCTAAGCTATGCTCACCGGCAATGTGCATATCACAAGGGGAACATGCCTCCTTTAGTTTCTGCTTCCGGTTCAGGGAAGGGACCTTCGGGGGCTTCTCGTCAGCGAGGGAGAACATCACGTGATGGTTCATTACCCACGGTCAGGGCTTACATAGGATTGGAGTATGAATGTCCCAGGGGACATAGGTAGGTAGTGGAAAATAACCGTTGTCAGTGCCTATTTAATGACCCTCATGCATGTCTACGTCAGACGAGCAAATCTCACTACCAAGCCTCGCTTTGAAAATTTTGAGTCTTACATGAGTGAATTTTCATTAAAGTTGTTTTGAAAAGAATACTCACGCACAAAGGGTGCAAATGCAAAGAATTTTGTTCAGAAACGATGCTCCTTGGTGGAATTTGCTCGTCTGACGTAAACACGCATAAGGGCCATTCGAGTTTTAATGTGATTGTATGTGAAAGACTCAGGGGAGCAACGTAGTAAAACATTCGATCGTACCAGGAAACGGGTGTTTTAAGGAGCCTGGTGAGATGTCGGAGTCGGGTACATGTCTTGTTTAGGCGGAAGACCTTGGGAAAGTAGATACATACAATAAAAAAGCAAGAAACTTGTTCTTTCAGTTGGCCAGCTTTTAATTGTCAAAGTTCATGCTTGGTTCTGAGGCTACGGGGAATAAAATAGTAAAGAAAAAACGATTATTCATTCGTGAATCTCGGTGCGGTCTCTTTTGTTTTATACCCCTATCAACCTCGGAGCCAAGGATGGATTTTACTTGGAAACTGGCCTTGTATACCACGTAACAGTGTTTAGGGAGGTTCTGTTTGCTGGTGAATTGGATGGGGAATGTAATACTTTTTAAGGAAGTAATGAACAGGCTTAAAAACACCGATGACAAACCTTATTTCCATTAAACTACCGTAAATCGTCTATTAACCCCCCCCGGGGGGCATCTTTATTTTAAGCACATTTATTTGTGAATAGTAATAAGGGGGAGGAGAGGGGGGCTTATTAGAGAGAGAGCCGGGCGGGGGGGCGGTAATCGAGGATTTACGATAAATCCATTTGGTAGGGGATAAATAGTGACGTTAGATTTAACAAGTAAATTAAGTTCTATCATGCCAGGCTCGTTTAAAGCGGTGTTTACTTCAGTTACAAGTGACATTGAACAGTTATAAAGCTGCAGTAGTTTTCTTCAGTGTCGGTGATTCTACCAGATAACTTGTTGTTTGTCGTTGTTCTTTTGTTCCTTTTCTATATGTAGTTGGATATATGTATCAGTTGTACCGTACGCGTTGCCAACGAAAGAAACCTAACTGTGACCATTCAACGTGTTTAACCAGACATCCTAGAGATCGGAAATAACCACATTATTTATTTATTTTTTATTTATTTCCTCTTTTTCTTAGGTTCATCTGCTCCGGGCCTGACAAAATGGTCAAAGCTACTAGTTCCGGTCACGTGAAAGAAACAGCACACAAGCTAGTGACGTCAGACATGCCCCTCTACTTCCCATGCCCCTGTAGGTCTTCCAAACCACTCATGGCTCAGATGATGCGCGTGTTTGTAGTCACGCCCGATTCTCCCATCCTCGTAACTCTAAACCCGCGGGTCCAACCGTCTGTCCCGCCATGTCCCGTGTTTTACCCTGGTGTCGCTGTCGGATTCAGCCTTCCACCGAGTAGCTTTTGCGTTCTAAGACTTCCCTATGTGTATGTCTCCGAAGGTGGGCCTATCTTACCGCCAGGTGATTCTCAGCCTCTCTTATCCTGCCGGGTTTTGAAGGGTATGTTCTCAGCCATGGGGCATTCCCAGGATATCAGCAAGGGATACGCTGTGCCGGGGAAACGCTGAGCTGGCCGAGATTACTTTGTAGAAGTCCGTTCAACAAGTCACTCTCTACCATGTGTCATCTTAGCTATGTTCATGCTGGTGTTACACTGGATGTTTTTATTCCACGATGCCTGCTGGAGATATCCCAGGGATTAAAGAGACCCAGCTAGAGCTCAAACCCCGACCCTCGTTTACTGCTTTCCCATTATTTCCTCCCCGTTTATCTTGGTATGCTGTTTGAAGGTGTCGTTCAGTACAAAGGAACACTAAGTCTTATTTTTTTTTTCTTCATCATTAAGGAGGACAGAGTATGAAGGATTGTTGCTTCTGCAAATATCTGTCGTGACCGTTTATCAGTAGGATGCCTTAAATATGTGCAATTCCACAACTGGTTTCGGCCTCATTGATAGAACAATAGACCTTTTTCACGACACTCGCCATCTTTGCACGCGCTTTACGGTTGATGGGATAAAAGCAACGTTTCCGTGCTTTCTCAGGGGACAAACAGAATTTGCTGGTACAGGTAATGGCGGTCGAGTTTGTTTATTTTCTCAAAATGAGACAACAATTTTAGTCATGCAAAATGTACAGATAAGTTTCGTCAAGTTTTATGTCATTATTGCACGCTGTGAGGACATGTACGGTCGTTATTGCATCCAAAGACACATTGATCACTTCCACCCATCATCGTCTTTAAAATTAAAAGTTCTTCATCTTTTGTTGTCTAGAATGAATCTCAGTAATGGAAAAAAAATTGCTTTGTTTTTTTCTTACCATTTTTTCCTAAAACCGTGAAAGTTATTGGTTTCAATAAATCTTTTCCTCTGGTGTCAAATCAGATCATTCAGTTGAAGTTTAAGCCTGGCGTGTTGTGAGCGTGCATAGAGAGGCTAGAAGTTGCAAGTAAATTATTTAATTACTGTTATTATCATTATTATTGATTTTTGTTATTATAATTATTAAGGGCTGGTCAAAAAGTATAGAGGGGGGTGGGTCGGAGCAGAGAGGGGGTGTGTCATGAGGTTTTGAGCCTTGTGCAAGGGGTGGGTCGTGCAATTTTCAGCTACCCTTAGGGGGTGGGTCACCCTATTTTATTACATAGAGAGGCACTAACTACTAACGAGACAGTTGACTACACTTGTCATATAAAACACAACCAGCTGGAATTATTACTAAAATACTCACAAACCTGTTGTGCGAGAAAGTACAAAAGGGTGACAGGCCATACATCTATACGGGCGTGGAACCCTTTAACTTTTGTTTTTTGGCTCTTACGAGCATGTCCGTTAATGAGTTTCCCTTTTTGTAAGGAAATGATTGGTGGTTCTTTAAAAATTTATTAAGGTTACAGTTGGTTTTGTATAAGATTCCATTTTTTCATTCAAGCTTCCTTTATAGTAGACACTAAGGGCTGGTATTGTGTCAGGAATGGCAATATTTCTTTTTCCTCCTGGTTGTTTTGTTTTAGGAGTTTAGAGTTCCTTTTGTGAATTTTATTTCTGATAGTATGTTTTCTATCAAAGATTGTGGATAGCCCCCGTCCCTCAAGTGTTATTTTTTAAATTTGAATTATTTTTCTCAGAGGTTGTTTCTGAGGAGTTTTTTCGTAGGATTCTCCAGCCAAGAACTTGTGCTCTTGTCCCTCGATTGATTAACCAGACGCAGCAGGCCTGGGGAGAGGCTTGAATCAATGCTATCCATTTTCTCTCACTTGCTCTCTTAAGTGATTGTTGATGCCTCTTTAGCTCCTCCGTTGATCTTTCTCCTGGCACCATGATGGAACTCTGTGAAGTAATGTATCGGTCAAATCGAGGCTTCAACATGCCCCCCCACCCCCGGGCAACCCCCCGGGCATTTGACTTTTTTGAAAATTATTGTTCAAATTCCCTCCTACCCGGGCCAAAATACCGTTCAAATGCCCCACACCAGGGTCCATTCAGGTGATCAAATGCCCCCACCCCGGGAACATTTCAAAGGCACAAAAATGACAGAAAGACGGTGGAAATGCTTTCAGTTGTCGAACAAAATCTTAATCAATATAACAACAACTGAGAAACACTGTTAGCGTATTTACTACGAACAAACGTCTCGTGCAAAGTGGCGGAAATCGCTGCTACAAGGTAACTGAATGCTCAGCTTTTTTTCGTCATGCAACATACAAAGCGTTCTATAAAAAAAGATCCCACCTATTGAGATTACTACATGACATGCATCATCGCTCACCTTATTAATTAACATACTTGCAGTAGGTCAAAGTAGTTGACCTGAGCTTTTTATTTTATTTTATGCTGTTGTATTGAATCGCCGGTATAGGTATTGTTTTTCATTGTAAACACAACAATAAAATACAGTCATACATTCAAAGCCTGAATCCAATATTAAAAATTTTAAAAGTTAAATACTTCAAATACGGCACAAAGCATGTTTAAGCCCTTTCCTCGTAACCAACTGGCCACAAAGGCACAATCTTTTCCACGAAAATCCTCTAACACCGCGTCCCCCATGACAGCTCGCCACGCCAAAGATTTTACATGAAATCGAGGGTGCAGTTCAAATCCCCCACCCCTAAAGCATGGGGATCAAATTCCCCACCCCCTGGAAGACTCTGATAATCAAATTCCCTCCTCCCCGGGACGGCAAAGGTGTGATTGAAGATTTACTACTCCCAACTTTGTTCGGTCAATCAGAGCCTCTCCCTACATAATAGAATCTACGTGCGCAGTGGTTATTAGTCTCGAGGCAGCAAACTGCTGCGGTGCCTCGGATTTCAGATCAGGAATGCCTAGACCCCCTTGACCTGTTGCTAAGGTAGCAAGTCTGCGCACCTCGTTAGGGAGAGGCTCTGATTGACCGAACAAAGTTGGGAGTAGTAAATCTTCAATCACTTCCTGGATTGGATCGACATAAACTTCAAACGATTCAATCGTGCGCATGAAGTAGGTGAACTTCGACTTGTAGCCTTTTGTGAAAGCAATATACGCCGCATGGGGCTGGCTCTTCGCTATTTCAGAGAGACGTTCGATTTCCTCTTTCCATGCACGAACCTTCTCCTCACAATACTGGTCTTTGTATTCTTGCGACGCAATAACTGCTCCCAGATGGCCCTGACCTTCAGTCGTTATGTTGACTTCCTCTTCAAACACCCTCTTTGCTTCCTCCGCGAGTTCCCTAGACTTCATAATAAGCCAGCTCTTTGTCCCATTCACAAGGTAACCAAACTTTTGACCTTCCTTACTCAATTGCCTGTACCAGTTGTATAACTGCACTATACTCCCTCCTCCAGCTGAGTCGTCTGCAAGCCACACCTGTTTAACCAATGGGCAATGATCCCTCAAATTCTGTATCATTATGGATGTATTAAGTGCGTACCATGGCATCGTTAGCGGATCTCCTTGTGTGGTGCCTTCTCGAGAAAGTATTTCACTTCCCCCACAAATAAACAGTCTAGATGGGCTTCTACATGTGTTAATAACATAGAGCGCCATTTCTTTGCACATGATCTGGATATTGTGTAAGGCCGCTGACCTATTCATTTGGTTAAAAGCGTTTCTAGCATCAATTAGCGATACTCCATCTGTTCCTTCTTCAACAAACTCTTGACTAATTGCATGGATCGCAGCCTCCGGTCCTGCATTATGACCAGCGCAAACTTGTAGGGGACCCGCCGCTTCTTTTATTTCCTCCTTTAAGAAACCGCTGACCGTTTTCCCCACTATTCTCCTTAGTACCTCTCCAACACCAATTGGTCTGATTCCCCGGTTCTTGTCAAGAGGGATAAGCTTGCAGGACGTAAAGGCTTCAAGTAAGGATGGGTGGTACGATTTCCTTAGCAGATTTCTTGTGAACACGGCTAGCTCTTCTCTCAATATTTTGCCCTCGGTCTTGAAATTCTTAGAGCACAGGATTCTTTTATACAACTCTGCGTCCATTCCAGATGGTCCGGCTGAGCCCTTGGTTTTACTTGCCGAGTTGTAGATCGATTCTTCGTCTATGAGGTCATAAACATTTGGCGGAATATAATCAATTGGGCCATGTAACAAACTCTCCTCTGCGATATCAGCTGCTTGTGGGTGCTTGTCCTGTAGCCCTTGCAGGACATCTGGCGATAAGTCGAGCAGACCGGACGAGCTCTCGTTATCTAGGAGTTTCATTGCAGCTGTCAATTTTCCTTGCAGAACCAGCTTTGAGAAGGCCTTGGATATGTCTTCAACCTTTCTAGGTTTCTTGGAATTCACAAATTTCCCTTGAAAGAACCTCACTTCTTTAAGCAGCAAATCAATGTCCCCTTGTTTCCAGAGTGCTAATCGACGCTCTATTGCTTCACTATGCTCCTTGCTTTTGGAAGTAGCGGATGGTTTTTGCAAAATCAAAGTTGGGAGCACCATGAATGCTTTAAGAGCGACCGAGTTCAAGTCAGAGTCTGAATTAAATTGCTTAATCCAGAAGGTTAATTCTTCAATGAAACTCTTCCCTGCGCGACCCGATGGAACATTGAAAATATTCCTCCTGTAGTGGACGATTTCATCGTAAACATCGTTGACAGTATTACAGAAACATGCGTAACTAATACTGCCCCAAGTTTTGTTCTTTGTTTCGGAGGGAAGCACATCATAATCAGGCAGATTTGGCTTGATTTGATTTTTGATGTTTTGATCCTTGCAAGTAGCAGTCCGTCCCTGGGGAGCTGTTTGATCAGCAATGTCGGAAGAAATATGCAAATTCGAACCTTCGACCACATTCACGTTTAATAAATTTTCACCTTCGCATTGGGCGGGTTCGAGACCCTCGGTTAGTGACAACATAGAGGCACCAACCTCATCTGTTTCGTCTAGAACAGTTGAAGAGTCGCCTCTAACACTTATTTGTGAGTTTTCATCCGTTATCGCTGCTGCGTGGTCGCGAAGATTCTGAGCTGATAACTCCAAGTTCACGTATCCCGCGTCGTCCCTTAGGTCTTTCAAAATGCGCATATATCCTTTCTTGCGTCCGTTCTGATAACATGGCGGGTTGCTTGAGCTTTTTAAGCTTAAGGCTTTTTCCCTGGATTCTAGTAAATCTTGATTCATCTTGTCAGTCCATTTTAGCCTTCCTGGTTTTCCAGCGAGCGACCGACCTGCAGCCGCCGCCGCCATTATTATTATTACTATTGTCGTTGTTGATATAATAGTAATTATTATTATATAAAATTCTTTATTGATTACTAGGCAAAACATTTATACGACAAAAAAATATAATTGTTATTCATTCAAATTTCCCGATTCTGATTGGTTGAAAGCACATGCATAATTCACAATAACCAGCTACTGATGACCAAATTTGGAAGAATTTTGCGTGTAATGAACCGGTGATGTCAAAAGTGCAGCTTTCTTGCAGGTTAATGAACCGTTAACCGAGAAGACCTGGGGACGAGGTTGCGTTGTTTTGGTTGTGAAAAAAAATTGCGGACGTTTCACTTATTTCAAGAGTAAGAACTAGGCGAAATAATAGCTAAAAACATGGCAAGAACAGCAAGAAGACAACTCGAAGGGCGACATCTGCTATTTGAAGAATATTTGCGCAGCTGAACTACCCTAAAAGTGCACTATCGAAGATGAACTTAACATCGATGGATCGATGGCGGTAAGCATGTTTTAGCCATGTTTTTAAACAAGGACTTACTTTGAATGAATAATAAAACAATTATTGAATTCGGCTTTCGTATCATATGAAGAATTATGGAGATCTCGGAGAGTGTTATCCGCGTCGGCCTGCTGCCTCGACGGATAACACCCTTCTCGATCTCTATAATTCTTCATAAGATACTCAGCCTCATTCATTAATTGTTAAATAATCCATTTAAAAAATGAGTCTTTTTTACATAAATGCATTCTTAAATGGCTCCGAATGTTTCTTGGACTTATTCTTAATTAATACAGGAGAAGAATTGACATATGGGAAGAAATAAAAAAACTACTCATTCTAAATGTGATAAATATTAAGAGTATTAATACTAAAATCTCGCTGGTTCCTTATCGATTTCGTTGCCCCTACTAATCCTAAATGAGAAAAATATTAAAAGTTCCAATCCTAATTACTATTATTATTATTATTATTATTAGTATAGGTAATAGCATGATCTGTAGTGATATTTGACATAAATACCACGAGTGATATTTCAAAATTGTTATACGTAATTTCACGAGCCTTTAGGCGAGTGAAATTTGAGACAATTTTCAAATATCACGAGTGGTATTTATGCCAAATATCACGTCAAATCATGCTATTAATTGTTTATACTACTACCCTTAGAAGGTTTGTAATTTTCACATGTAGGTATTTCAAATTAAGCTGAAATACCACTGCTCTAAGCCAATCAAATTGCAGAAATTTCTCACGTAGTAGTATAATTATTATTATTTGTAATGGTAACAGGACTGAGTGGAGTCCAATTCGGTCTGTAATCATACGAGTGATTAACAAAATCGGACGACCGCGTAGCGGGAGTCCGACTTGTTTAATCACGAGTATGATTACAAACCGAATTGGACGACACAAAGTTCTGTTATCAAGTCATCATAACTTTAACAAAAATTGTGATATATTAGGCTATTTTTTAAATCAAAACACAAGAAATTCGAAATTTTGTTTTGCTAGCATGACGCGTACTGTCCTATTAAACTGTCCAATTAAGGCTGAAATCAGGGCAGTTGATAACCAATTAGATCTGACAATTTTGCTATAGTTATGATTTGTTATTACAGTCCTTTCAATAAGACCCGGCTCCCGGCGGGTGCTCTCATGAAAATCGCCGGCTATATTTCTTGCGTTAACGTGCTTATGAACAAATAAAAAGGAACCACAAATTCACCTCAAGAAATGGTTAGTTGCCAGTTGAAAACTGATGAAAATTTTTAAAACACATTATCTGTTTGACTTAGACACTCCCCTGCGATTTTATCGCTGTACACGCTACAAGTAGTTGTTATACCGTTTGCGTATTTAACATCACGTTGTCGTAAACATCATCGTCACTAAAGGTCACACTCCAGCTCACATTACATGATCTACTTTGTTATATTTGATAAGCTTTTCCGTGGTTTTGACTGAGGTGTTGCTGTCAAGGGGTATAGTTATGTCAGTGACAAGGCAGGTTTTATTCTCCTTGTTCTTTAGCACAATGTCCGGCCTATTAGCTGCTATGGTCCTGTCAGTGTGGATGGGCATGTCCCACAGAATAGTGACGCTGTCATTCTCGTTGACAGTCTTGGGTTCATGCTCATACCATCTTTCCTTCACCTCAATGCCAAACTCTTTGGAGATCTTCCAGTACATGTGTGCAGCTGCCTTGTTGTGGCGGCGGATGTATTCAGTTTTAGCCCGTTCAGGGCAGCTAGAGACCAGGTGGTCAATGGTCTAGTCGAAACGGCCACACAGTCTACATTTTGAATCCACGTCAGGCTTCTTGAGTATGTTATGTTGGCACAAGCGTGTTGGGAGGCTTTGATGTTGGGCTGCGATGATAAAGCCCTCGGTTTCTGCTTTGAGGCCAGCTGCTTTTAGCCATCTGTGGGTCTTGTCTTGGTCCACGTCACCCGTTGTGGGCATTTGCCGTGGAGCGCTTTTGATTCCCACTTGGACCTAAGCTGTTGGCAACCCTGGTGTTTGGCCTTAGCCTTTGTTCTGCGGGCATAGGTGGTGTTTGCCTCATCCTCTGCAGGTGATATTGCAGACACTCCCACCTCCCGAATGAACTTTATTGACTGTCTGCTGATGGAGTACAAGGGTTTCCTATGGCTATAGTCTTTGACAAAGTAGAGGAGGGTGTCCTGCGTCTCCTGGAGGTAATTATCAAGACCGATAGTGGTTGACTTGTAGGAAAGCTGCAGTTGTATGACCCTCTACCTCCTTTAGTTCTGGGCAGGTAGAGACTGTCCACGTCAGATTTGGGGTAGTCTTTCTATCAAGTTTGGCCAGCTCTTGTAACGTCCAGTTTATGGTGTTAAAACTGTAAGTTACCACTGGTAATGCAGAGGTATTGATGGCTTCCAGTTTGTTTGCGGAGTTCACCTCAGACTTGAATACCATCCGGATCATGCGGTAGCTCCGGTAGTACTCTTTCCGGGTTTTCTCTTTTATCTGAGAGTGCTGGACGTCCGGACCTCCTGTCTATCTGAGAGTGCTGCACGGGAATGCCTCGACCTCCGTCTCCCTCGCTGACTCCGGTGTACTTATAGGTACCGTCCTGTTCCAAGTCCTGGATGATGGTGTTGACGTCGAGCGCGATGTTACTCTTGTTCAGGAGGGAGCTTAGAGGAGCAAGAGCCAGACAAAAGACTAGAGGTGACAGCGAGTCTCCCTGATAGATGCCACTTTTGATTTTGATGGTCATGGTCTGGATGTCATCATGCCCTTATCGTGGCTGAGGTGGAGGATCGTCTTCCACGACTTTATGTTTTCCCGCATAAAGCGGGTGACAGTGGGGCACATCTTGTAGAGTTCGAGGCTCTTGACGATCCAGGAGTGGGGCACACTATCGAAGGCCTTCTTGTAGTCGATCCAGGTCGTGGAGAGATTACGGCGCTTGGATCTCACCTCCTCAAGGATGGCTTTGTTGATGAGGAGCTGGTCTTTACAGCCATAACTCAGGGGCACCCAGCGTCAATTTTCGGAAAATATCTGTTCGGAAGACGATTTGAGATCTGGAATTTTCGGAACACTTTTTGTAAAATTTCTTGCTTGCCTTCCTCTCCTAGGATTTTCGAACATCTAAAAAATGGTATAATTGCCCATTTTAACGGATTTTTACCCTTTGGCTAAAAAGGTCACCTAGAATTTTCGGGAGCCTTTTTTCTGGCTGAAATTTTCGAAAAGGTAAGACAGTTTTGATCCCTATAATTTTCGGATGACTAGACTTTCAGCTAGGAAATTTTTAGGGGATAAAAATATGCCTATATCTAACGTTTAAATACTAAGATTCGTTTAACAATGCCTTGTTTAAGTGGTTTTGAGCTATATTCTCGTTGGGTGCCCCTGATAGCTCCTGCGGCGGCATCCTTTTTGCACTTCGGGGATCAGATTGATACTTTCGAGAAATATGTAGGCCCTTTCTGTAATGACGGAGGTCAGGACCTTGTACATAGTCGGTAAGCATGTGATAGGCCTGTAGTTTTTAAAGTTCTCTGTGTCTTCGGACTTTGGTATCAGGAAAGTCACACCCTCGGTCAGCCACTCTGAGGACTGTTCTGGGTTCTTGAGGATATTGTTGTAGGCACTGGCTAATTCGGGGTGGAAGCTGGTCAGTTGTTTGAACCAGAAGTTAGCCACGTCGTCGCATCCTGCGGCTTTCCAGTTGCTGGTCCTGTTGGCTTCGATGGTCTCCTCTGTGGTGACATCTGACCATTCCTGAGTTGGGACATGCTTGTTCTCCTTGGCTTGGTCTTGGATCCAGTGAGCAGCATCATTATGGGTCTTGTTGTTCTCCCACATTTTGCTCCAGAATGTCTCGACCTCTACGAGTGAGGGAGGGTTCTGGATAGTGATGGCTTTTTTTCCCAGCTCTCTGTAGAACTTTTTGGCATTGTCCCTGAAGGTCTTGTCTTGCCGGAAGAAGTTCGTCCTTTTGGTGTATCGCCTTAGACTCTGCGCTTTGGCCTGGACTTCTGGTTTTACAGACTCTTTTCTTTTGCCATGTCATCTTGGATTTTTTATGCCAAATTTCTTCTTGGTCTTGTCAGCTTTGGCATTTTTTACGTTATTATTATTATTATTATTATTATTATTATTATTATTATTGTTATTATTAGAGTTGTGCAAAGAACCAACATTATCTTTGAAGCCGATGAAACTGATGCCACCTTACTAGTTGACGCCTCAAACGCCTTCAATTCACTGAACAGAGCGGCCGCGCTGAGTAACATCAGAGTGCTATGCCCATTGATCGCCACTTATGTAACCAACACTAATCGAGTTCCTCCGCGCTTACTTGTGGTTGGTGGTAGTGAGCTTAAATTTGCAGAAGGAACTACACAAGGAGACCCTTTAGCTATGTCAATGTATGCAATTAGCTTACAACCGTTAATATCGCTACTTCATAACCGTAGCACTGCAAAACAGTGTTGGTTCGCGGATGCTGCCACTGGAGCAGGACCCCTAGAAAAAAAAAAACTAGTGGCTGTTTACAATGTCAACTGCTCGTTCTTACTCGCTATGGAATTTGGGAAATAATAAATTAAAATAGGAAAAATAAAACAAAACAAAACCGTTTCGTGTCAAACAGATATGTCTCCTAAGCACTATACTAAACGTTGCAAATGACACGGTCTCCAACAAGGTTTCAAAAATTTCAGTTGTAGTCCGTTTTCATTCTTCAAGTAATAACGGCACTTTAGTGACCCTCTGTGTAGTAAACTTAAAGCGCAAACCATCGAAAAAAATACTTTCAAATAAAATTCATTAGCTGCGTATCGAAAAGTGCCCCAAAACTGAACCTAACAGTAAAAATCCTAAACAAATTCGCCGACCGTCGCAGCAGTGATGCGTGTAATGTGAGAAGCACTAAAATTTCAACATGGTTGTTGTCCAGTGTATTTTGAGCTAATGTTGCAGTCAATGAAGAACGCACAACGACAGACAGAGATATTATTTCACGAAACATTTTATTTAAAACCCATAAATTAATCCTTATTAAAAGTAATTCGTGTGACACAAACTTGGTTCGTCAGTCGGATCATGTTAGTAAAATCGGCTGAGCAGATGGCAAAAATCATTCAACACAAATCTCAAATCAGGGCGCTCAAGCTGATCTCAAAATGTATAAAACTTCTAGGATGAAATATTTACAAATACATAAATTTTCTTTTGAAGACGTAATTTTCTTAGGAGGACAAACTTCTATAGAGGACAAACTGTACCTGAAAATTCTTCAAAAGCTTTGTTGCTTGGTTGCGTTTAGCCTGCGATCATGCCCTCTCCCTTTATCTCTGTAATCTGTGTTCGGGAGGAGGGCATGATACATTTCTTTCACAGATCACATGCAAAAAAGCTAGAATCTGGACTTTTTTCTGATTGGATAGGAAACAATACGGATTATTTGCGCTGTACCGATTGGCCAAAACGCCGCCATCCGTTAGTTGTTGTTGATTGCAGTCTGCATTTTTGCTTGCGTAATGAGCAGAGGATGCACACGCGAGTTCGTTATGAAATTTCTGCCGGCTCAGTTTTCTTGCCAGTTTGAAAAATGTGAAAAGGGAAATTTCATCCATTGAAATATTTTCCATTTCACCGTATACTAAAAATTGCAGTCAAAAATTCACCGATCATTTGAATGCAATTAGATACCGGCTGCAAGTTACAGAAGCGACAAACGGGTTCACTTTTCAATCTTGACCTGGCTTGACTTTAATTCCTGTCATTCCTCCTTCAGAAACCTGCGAATTATTCTGAGCGATCTTCGCTTTCACAACACTTTTCAGTTCGGGAAATATGGTGCTTCAGCTTAATTTTTTTTTCAGAGCGGCTTTCGGCACAGAATGAAGTCAACGAGCTTTTACTAGTAAATTCTTGATTATTTGTAGCTGTTAAATAAAGGTACGGCAGCTCCAACTAGCAGTATTTCATCAACAAAAAAATTAATAAAAATTTTACTTAGGAATCGCCATCTGAACGTACTTAAACATTTTCTTCTCCCTGAAATTTATTTCGAAAGAGACATTATTCCCGCCAAAATATGATTCCCTTCTGGTAAACGCTGATTGGCTAATAACATGACAGGTCAAGCAGACATTAGATTATGTCAATAAGGGGGCGGTTGATGGCTTGTTAAACAAATGTATCAGGCGTTATTTTTTTCCCTCTCGAGCCAAAGAAGCAAAGAAGCAAAAAAAAAAAAATAATAATAATAATAATAACGCCTGATCTCAGGATAGGTTGCGTTTCAAAACAGGCCGATCCCTCCGATAGGTCGTGAAGAATAGTTTTGTCAAGAAAAGCCTTCCTTTGTCCACAAAAAGAAAGCAGAGCATTCTTTTGAACTTTCCCTTCCAATCTCTGTGTCCTTAAGCGGTTTTAACCTTGACATGCGAAACACTGGTCTTGTAAACCACCGCTTGAGCTGTCTCAATTTTGAGGATTTTTGTCTAGGCCTCAAATTTTTGCTTGGAACACGTGACCCGAAACACTTTGGCCGCGCGGAATAACGAGGCCTAGGGACAAGGCAACCTACCATGATAATTTCTTGCTTGCGTGAATAGCGTGCTCAAAGCAAAATATCTTGACGTCACAACTTTGTTAAACATATACTCTCGTGCAAACACGCCTCTTAGCCAATGAGATCTTAGGGTGTGTCCGGATCAGGATCAGTGATTCGAGATCACTCAGATCATGGTAGATCAAATAAACAGATGAATTCTTCTCTAGAGTGGAGTCATCGGCTCATTTGATCTACCATGATCCAAGTGATCTCAGATAACTGATCCTGATCCAGATCATCTCGCAGGAACGTATCCTTAGTTACTTAATTTATAATTAAGATAATAAGGATAAATTCAACTTCGCAACTTTCGGGATTTTTTGGACAATTTGCAACGGTAAGCATTTCAAAAATTGGGCGGAAAAGTGTACACATGTAGATTCCTGGTCATTTACAAAGAAGCATTCAAAATAACTCATTCATGCATGTTATAAGTACCTGTAGAGTATGAGAATCATTGAGTGATTATTGAATAAATTATTAACGAATATCCTCGAATATTCTTGAAATTTCGATTTTTCTTTTTGGTTTTTATTTTACGAGTTCCAGAAGAAATTTCTCGCATACAGGTATAAAAAGTTTCAGCTGTATAAGAGGACAGGGGACTTTGTAATAATATCATACACGTGCTTGATTTTAAAGGACAATTTAACGTTTTATTTGCTATTGTTTAGCCACCTTTACAACATATTGCCGCAACAGTAGATTTCTAGCAAATGAAAATCTTACACTATCTCAAACGACTACTTTTAACCCAATTTAGCCAACTTGATTAATTGAGGAAAAAGGAAACTAACATGGTCTGTCATTTGGACAGGAAGGAAAATCTTCCAATGAGGCACAATCAAGATACCACTGGTATTTGCAACCTCCGCTACGATCATCGGTGTCATCTCGAAAAGGTGCGGTCCAGATGGGATCAAAGGTAGTTGTCCATCCGCTACAGGACTCTCGGTTTAACTGGCACTGAGAGCTACCCTCCGTTTCCTTAAAGCAGATCCGACACACCTCGTACTTGTTACCATCGGTCGCATCTTGTGACTCAATCTTCCACTGATATTTGCAACCGCCACTTCTGTCATCGGTATCATCGCGGAAAGGAGCCGTCCAATTGGCGTTTGAACTCCATTCGGTGCACGAGCTTCGTGATAACTGACATTGTGAGCTCCCTTCCGTCTCTTGAAAGCAGAGTCGATATTCTTGATTTACGGGCATCGTGCCATATCTCTCGATTCTCCAT